AAGCCTAGTGCCGCAGATTTACCGCGACCTCGAGCAGCGGTGAGCGTGACGGTGGATGAGAGTGTCTTCTCGGCAATCGCATCAACAAACGTTAGAACAGCTTGAGCCTGATCTATGGTTTTGGCGAGTTTTACGAGCTCCCCCACAGGTTTTGTGTCTGCCAGACTATCCTTGAGGTCCTTGAGCTCGGAGTCTGCCTTACCCTTCCCGCGTTCCTCTTCAATCGGGATGATATCCTTGGCTTTAGATATGGGTAAGACATTCAGTTCATCATCCAAAACCAAGCAGTCCGAGCAAGATCCCAGGGAGAGAATAAACCGTTCGTTAAATCGCGCAACTACCGAATCATGAGCTGAGGTTCTGTATCTGGCATGTACATCCTGCAAAAAAAATCAGTGAGCGACCCCCTGGATGAGATGGTGATATCGCACCATGGTAAGAGTGTACAATTGCTTCAAAGACGACATTGTTTTTAGGAGAAGCACCACTAATCCGCCGCCCTCTACCGTTTCAATAGTGCGTGCCAGGAGATTGGGTGTGATTGCCTCAAAGTCTTGCAGAATGCACATTCCATAGGTGTTTCCCAATATACGGTGCGACTCTTTATAATAGCTAGAGGATCATAAGCTTGCGCCTGGAAATTATCAATGCTCACGCACGTATAACGGATATCTGTGACAGTCACAAAAATTTCGAATGGATTTTGCTCGTTTGCCTCCCGCACACCTCTCTTCACGTCCCGTTTGATTTTTGCCTCTCGCTTTTTTCGTGCTCTGCAGACCATCTTAGGTCTTTTTACAAAGCAATATGATGTCACTCACGCGGTGAAACCAAGATCCTTTTTATAGCACCATAGTACTGAAGGGCGTGCTGATACACGCGCTTGTGAAAGCAAAAAGTGGAGATTCACAATCTAGAAACAGTCAGAGTCAAAGACGGTCGGCATACTAGAGCTGCATCTACATACCTGGTCCCTTCCCTTATCACCGACCAAAACTATGAAGGACCGGTGATTTTTCTTGACATTATTGTTAATTAGTACAGGTATACGAGGATCAAGCTGCTTGCGCATGGAGGCTGCTGATACTGGCTGAAGCTGAGGCGAGTCCTGCTAGGTCCTAACGTTCCGTTCAAGGTATGTAGTATTACAAAATTCACTATCGCGTTCGCAAAAGGAAGGAGTTTCGCACGATTATAACCTTATTAACAACTTAGCTTCTCCCTCCAATTCAAGCCGTCATGTTGGCTCATCAATAGAGCTGATGAGTATGCTCAATATTATCTTTGCTCGTGCTCAGGAGCTCTGCAGTCTCTTTCCTAATATCAACTTTTATTTTTCCCGATTGACATCCAATGACTAGGGGATCTACTTGCTATATATACCGATCTAGTCTTCGACACTTCTAAGGCGCAATCTCACCGGTGTGAAGATGTATGTTGAGTGTCGTATTCATTGCAGTTCAGTTTTGGACTAGCCTCGCACAATGTCAGCCAGTGGACATTCCCGAATGATAACCCGCCACATCATTCGTCCACAGGCAACTCCCATTGGGAGGCCAGACATCTGTGCGTCGAACGCATCTCCAATATTGGGTAAGTATTGTGCTCATTGTAGTGCCGCTTTGCACTTACTCCACAAAACGACAGCCATTAAATCGTACTCCTGAATGCCCACAACTGCATTAGTCCACGGGCTACTTCCATTACGAGTGTTCCGCCACAGTAAAGCGTGCAAGATTCAATGGCTATATAAGCCATGTACATGGTAGCGGTTGTAAGTCACTGATCTTTCAGAATGAACCCTCTCATTTTTACCGATGCTTTTACATCGACCCATACTGGTGTCAAACAATGCTTTTGCGGCAAACCGACCATCGAAGATCATGATTTCTGGTTTTGCTCTCCCGAATGTGCTCGCGCAGATTCTTTGCGTACTCTAGGCGGCCAAGGCGACTACCATTATCGCAACATCATGCAGAGGGCATGTTCCAACTCGACTGCTCCAAAGCATGTGCTATTGAGGCACAAGTCGGAGCATCAGCTTCGCAGTGTTTCGATTGTGAGGCGTGGTTCCGTATCGCAGCAGGCTCAACATTTCCCGAAGCCAACGAAGACCCTCCCCACGCTGGAAAAGGTTACGACCGAAATTCTTGCTAGAGAAAGCAGATCCGAAGGCAGCGACACTTCTGTCCATGGTCCTGTCGCGAAGATTCCAAGAGAGTCACCGGAAACTGGAGCAATATTACAAGAAATGGAAGAGGAAACCGAGGAAGAGGCTGCTTGGCAGAAACTTGTGAACCGCACGGATGATAGGTCAAAGCCCCCTACCTTGGATCACCATGGAGTCGGACAGACTACTGCTAATCGGCGATCACGTTTCATTCGTCGCTCGGCTTCGTTTGCATGCTTGGACGAACAAATTGAAAACTGGAACGGCGAGAGGGGACCTGTAATGGAGGTAGTGTTCCAACTTCGTCAAGCGTGGAACGAGATGACAGAGACAGACATCATGCCGGACTTTGAGAAGTTGGACTCGGACTCGGAGGATTAGCTAGTGAGTCATTTGAAATGACTTTGAGCTTGATATGAATATGCCACACTATGTACTATGTTACTGTTACTTGTGCTACGATTCGTACAATAATTTCTGTATGTGTTCGAAATAGGAAGGTGTTCAAGAAGAAACGATCGGCGACTCTCGCCCCTTGACTTACGTGTGACTTCCGGCTAATCGTGCAGCATTTCTCCAATTCGCCTCGGATCCTACTCTTGTAGATATCATTGGGAGCCTTTAAAGCGAGCACGGCACAATTCGCTCGTACGACGCACACTATCACCGCCCCACCACCACCTCTTCCTGTTTCATACGATCATGTCCTCTGACGCTCTCTTGACTCAGATCTTAGCCCAACTCAGCGCACTTCAGGTCTCTCAACAGACCCTGCAGGCCAAGGTAAAATAACGCTCCAGGCTATAAACATGAAGACTGATACAGCTCACAAATCAGTTGGATGCGTTTACCACTCTTGTTGGAAGCCCACCAAGTCATGGGACTCCTATCACAGGCCACAATGATTCACCAACTCCACCTTCTTTGCTGCTATCGCCCTCCTCTTCCTTGAGCAAAGTCCACCTGGCTTCAACATCGCCAGCGAGCACTCCGTCAGATCACATTCTAACCGATAGAGAGCGAGAGAAGGCTCTGTACCCTGGTAGAGTGCTTTTGACTAGTAAGTCTTTCTCGATAGATCTAGAGTTGTCAGATATTGTAGACACTACCTTTCACACGCTTCTATTGTTAACTTTAACTAATTTCGACCTCTACAGCTCATCCTGACCAACATGGAATCAAACCTTTTCCAATACAATGGGGTGCACCCGATCCCTCCTTGAGAGGACCTGTGATCTGTTCACGTTTACCTTCCTCAGTCAAGCAACGCAATGCTCTTGGTGCTCACTCCGGTTCATATTCGATCTATCGCGCCCTTGCTATAGCTATGGGGACTCTTAACCCTACCCATAAGCCCGATTATTCCATGACTGAGCCGCCCGTGCCTATTCCTCCGCAGCCTGCATGGTCAGATCCACACAAGATCGTCTCATTTGACCCCTGGGGACACCTTGTGCCTCAGGTATTTAGAAAAGAGGTCGATGAACTTGGACTCGATGTTCGTCCCAGTATAGCAGTTACAAAGGCGCACATCAAACTCAGTGAAATTGACGAGACTGCGAGGAAAGGCGAGCTCGAGGTGGACGGCAAGATTGTCTTGGCCACGCGTCCTCTGAAAAACGTCGATGGAACAGAGAGTGACGCTTATTCTGGTGTAGAGATCACCACCAGTAAAGCCGCTGTTGAGCCAGTATGGTATCTGCCTGGCATTGCTGAACGTTTTAAAATGTAAGTAACCACTGCTGTCTCAATCTACTAGTTTCTAATCCTGCGCCAGATCCGAGAGCCTGCTTCGCCGTGCTCTTTTCGAAGACACTGGAGGGATGTATCCTGAATTGATTACCCGCCCCGATATCAAGGTCTTCCTCCCTCCCATCGGCAATCTGACAGTTTACATTTGTTCGTGTTGTCGTTCGTCTACAAACTTTCTGCTGACCGCTCTTTCAAGTTGGAAACCCTGCCTTCCTGTACGATGAGTCCAAGGAACTGACCTTGCGTGTACATGATGAATGTATGTCTCTCCATCTGTTTTCCATCATATCTGAATGTTCATAATTATCAGGTAATGGTTCTGATGTCTTTGGATCCGACATCTGCACCTGCAAACCTTATTTGGTTTATGCGATCGAAGAGTGTATTCGTTGCGCCCAGAGAGGTGGAGTCGGCCTTGTCGTGTACTTCCGCAAAGAGGGCAGAGCCCTAGGCGAAGTCACAAAGTAAATATCAATTCTTTTTCCGTACTCCCAGGTTCACAACACCTCCTCAGGTACTTGGTCTATAATCTTCGGAAACGCGGTGGCGACTCTGCTGATAAGTACTTCAAGTCCACGGAGCTTATCGCTGGTGTAAAGGACATGCGATTCCAGGCACTCATGCCGGATGTACTACACTGGCTCGGCATCAAGAAGATCGATAACATGGTTTCCATGAGCGATATGTGCGTGGATCATAAATAACACTCATTGATAATAGCTGACACGCTTACCTCAGGAAATACAACGCGATTGTCCAATCTGGAATTCCAATTTTGAAGCGCTATGATCTACCAGGTGGGTAACTTTTTAAATGCTGGCGTGATTGGCAATCAACGATGACCCTATCTCTAGAGCATCTCATCCCGCCGGACTCGCGTGTTGAAATCGACGCTAAGATCGCAGCGGGATACTTTACTAGTGGGAAATCAATCACTGAGCAAGACTTGGTCAAGACAGTCGGTAGAACTTGGGAAGAAACAGAGCATTAGAAACAACCCGAGCCCATGTATCTTCACGAACAGACTTTGTGTTCCTTGTATTGTACAACTACGTTTCTATGTACCACAAATATAGCTTCATGCATCTTTGATTCCGTCGTTAGCTCGGATGTCCCAAAGCTGTATGGCTTTCTCCGCGGCAGCAAATCGTGCCTCCTCTTGACTAGCCCGTCCCCGTTTCTCTGCGGTGGCCTTCACAGGTTCTCTGCCTTCGACAGTGATAGTACAAGTAACATGTCCCCTCTCTTCGTCAAATACCGAAGTCAACTCCTTTTGTTGGCGTGCAGCCCATATATACACCCTGGTGAGCGGGTGCAAAACATCGACGTCATCCCTCAGGTTGCGCTCCAGTTGTTGCATTATACCCAGTTTGCGAAGTACTTGGCGAACGACATCCATGTTTCCACGGGAGTCAAGATAAACAGCGCCGATAATGCTTTCGATCATGTCGCTGAAGAATTTGGGTGCTTGGAGGCGAGTGAGGGCTGCCCACGGGAACGTGAGACCGTGAAGGAGAGCTTCCTCTATTTCATCTTTCATTTTGCGATAACGAGCGAGTGTCGCTCTTTGCTGGTCGAAAACCACTGAACTGGAATGGAGCAAGCTTTGGTATAAGGATATCTCCTGCGTTTCCTCGTCCATGACTATGCCATCGCGGGTGGGGCGTGGTAAGCTCGCGTCTTTCTCCAGCGAGCACTTGAAACAGATATAAGTAAGGAAATGCAAGTTAACCACGGCAGATTTGCGGATATGCATCTGGCCCGGGGTAAATTGCTTTCTTGGGTAGTGATAGAGATGCTCTGTGATGATCAAGTCGAGTACAGAGTCGCCCAAAAATTCCATACGCTCATATGATACCGTCCGAGAATCGAACTGGTAGCTTGAATGAGTGATGGCTTCGAGGAGAAGGAGCTTGTGGGTAAATGTGTACCCTAACATGCGTTCGATGTCGGTTGTTGGAGTGGAAACCTCAACGGTTTCCACACACGAAAGCGCTTTCTCGATATAAACTTCGAGGGGTTGCCACCCTGCCTTGGAGCCGATGCCGAGGTCAAAGAGTCGGGTGCACTCAATGCCAAAATTGTACCCTCCATAAAGGGAGGCAGCTCCAATGAGGGCTTCTACTACGTCCGCAAGCATCTTTGTGGATAGGTCCTCAGGGACTTTGGGTGTTTCTTGAGACGGATCACCAGCGACCACGTCTTCAGTAATCTCGTTTACTTCTCCTGTAGTAAAGTACTGTGGTTTGAACTTCCGAGGGGCAAAACGATCGCGTACGATCCACTTGTACAGGGAAAGCCTGATGGCTTCCTTTGCCAATCTCGAATTGGAGACAGCATGATCTTTACGCCTGGTGAGGTACCCTTCGTGCCAAAAGGGATAGGTGGCGATCAGATGCATTGACATTACAAACTTGAGGACGGCATCTCCGAGGGTCTCCAGTCTTTGATAATTAACGTGACCTTGGGCCACAGGGGCAGTGATCGCTGTAATCAGACGAGTCAGAGGAATTTGATAAAGTGGGGTCCCGGTGAGCAGACTCTCTCGAAGAGATACGGCAGTTGCAGCGATGGAAATGTGGCGAATGATGGAGGGTAACAGAATAGCATGGTCGCATTGCACTTGAGAAAGAAGAACGATACGAGATGATTGAGGAGGGAGGAACGACCTCCTGAGAGGCACATCACTAATGGACGATAGAGATTGCAAGAAATTTCTTCTTGGCGGCAATTCTTCTACATGAAGTAACGGGTAGGTGATCTCCATTTCCGACATTCTTGAATATCTGGCCATGAAATCTTGTAACTCTTCCTCAGATAGAGGATCATGCCTCCACCCAAGAAAGCGATAAACCTTGCCGTAGGGAAACCCGTCACGAATCCAGGTGATATCAGTCGGGTGCGAGAACGCCTGTCCGAAAGTGGCTGCATTTGCGAAGAGATCGTCTCCCGAAGACTCTTCCCCTTGCAAATCCCGCAGCCACCTTCGACGCGCATCCCACACATCTCGCTCAGTGTCTTCCTCAGCAGGTTCAAAAAGATACGCAAAGTCGAATTTGTCCCATTGCATGCGGATTCCATACAGACACCAGAACAGACGTCGTGTAGATTCATGAGCGGCTTGAAGGTCACTAGCGGAATGGTGGGCCACACCCTGTGCCTGCAGTTCAACATCGATACGACCTTTGCGAGAATCATAGAGCACGGGTGCTTCCCCAGCCGCGAAAGATGGAAGGTCGACTCGGGTGAGCATGCGGATAGGAGAAAAGCCTGGTATGACAATGCGAGTAGCTGTCCAAGCCGCATCCGTTAACTCATCTTGCCAAGGATTCATTTGGCTAGTGACGGAAGCCATGCTAGATCGCTTCTCGACATCTTTCAGGAGATTCTTGACTTCCTCTCCCAAATCAGGCTCGACCGTGCTGGTCAATGGCAGGAGATGCTCATTTAGGAGGTTGGCGTTATAGAGGGCGAGGTATGCCTTGTATGCAACGTGTCGGTATGCAGATTGTTTTGTAGGGTATTCACGGTTAACTGAGAAGATGCGAAGTCCCGCTGGGAGCCGCCTTGGCAAAGTGACCGTGCACCCAAATGGCCCCGGATATGGTGGGGGAACTACGCGTGTCGCAGGGTCAAAAGAGTGCCAGCCTTCGGGCATATCAGGGGGGTCGATATCATAGATGGGAAGATTAACCGAATTTGGAATCACAGCACAAAAATGATTGAGATGAGAGACCGCTAGTAGCGGGGTAAGCACAGCCCTATTCATGGATGAGTAGGATGGCTTTGAATGCACGTATATCACTCACCCTGTAGACTTCACCTTGAAAACAGGCTCATCTGGATCAGGTTCTTCGTCATCACTGGAGACCGTTGGCCTGGAAGCACGATCAGCTAGGTAAAGGGCTGTCATCTGGGCCTCCAGATTCTCGAACTCCGCTACTCTAGCGTCGTCGATACCTGACGATTCAAACATGAGAACAAAAGAGCTGCGCCTCCTGCGAGCACGACCTCTGCTTTGGGCCCAGCTCGCCATGTTGTCAGGGATATCCCACCTGATTACATTTCCACAGGCCTGGATGTCAAGTCCCTCTTCTGCCACGGACGTGGCGATGATGAGGTTCCTGTCTCCAGACCGAAAGCCCTCGAGAACATCTGCCTGAGCTTGGTCCTTCAGAAGTGTACGGGTGATGTCAAGAAAGGTGTTGCGATAGGAGCTTTGAGAACTTCCAAGCAGACACCCGAGTCTGAAATGAGCACTGCGGGGATGGTTCCTCATAATCTCCGACAATGCTAACACTCCGTCACGACGTGTGACGAAGATCAAGCCACTATAAGGCTCGTTCGACGACTCCGACCAATCTTTTTCGTACTCCAATGTCTCCAAGAGGACGCGGACTTTATCCGTGATACCAGCCTCGATGTCCGTAGGATCGTAAGAGAGAGGTGTCAGCTTGATCTGAGACAAATGTTTCATTAAGTAATTCTTCTCCTTGGGCTGTAAGGTCCCGATCAACTCGTCCCAGGGAGTTTGTTTATCTAGCGCTCGAGATACAACGCTTTCGATGTACCAGTCTGCCGCCCATGGACCGATGTCATAACATATGGCTTTGCCCGCATTCGCGAGGTCGTTCATTCCACCGTGCGAGTATGTCTTCTTGCCCTGAATAGCTTTTGACAGCTTCTGGTCCATTCGTGTATACTCTGGGCCTCGGGCAGTTTTCGCTAGTTTCTGACGTAGTTGTATAACGAAGGGATCTTCCTCGATGTTCATAGTAGCAAGAACGGCTTCGACTGCTGATAAATTTTTAGAAGTATAGTTACGATCAGAGTATTGCGGTGTATCGTAGCGCACGTGTCGGAAGATCGGACGGTGGACATGAGTCAAGAGCTCATCCCGATTGGCTCGAGGACTACGAATAACGCAGTCGAGGTTGGCTTCCAACTTCCTGGAAAGCATGTCAATAATATTCGTAGTCTCCGATCCGAGCACCATACCGGAAGGCTGCAGTAGGATTGCCACCGAACATAGGGCTAGCAGTGAGGCCCAAGACCATGGGACGTTCGTCCTGCTCAATCGTCACACTAGAGCCGTGGGCCGCGGGGAGGCGGGGAGGGAGGGAGAAGTAAAAATCTCGCATGATGCAGCTCATGGGGTGATTTCGATCCGCGTGGTGAGCCTCGTCGAAGATTAGGAGGCCGATATCCAGTCCCATATGAACGTAGCCGTGGCTGAGCGCGTCAAGGAGTACCTGGGGAGTGGAAACTATAACGCGATTGTTTCCCAGCACTCTTTTCCACAAGGTAACATCAGTCCATTGCTTTGGCTCAAGCCCCCCATGAATTAGGCCAACAGGGACCTGCATATTATCCTTGATCACGCTGTGCTGCTGATTGCAAAGAGCCACCGTAGGCGCCAGAAACCACGACACCTAGGAACCTCTTTGCAATAAGACCTTTAGAACGCATAACCTGAACGTACCTTTTGAGAGCCGCGTTCTATTTCATATCTCATCCTTAAAATCGCAATCAAAGTCTTTCCGGAACCAGTATCCTGAGCGATGATTATATTTTCCTTGAGACTGGCGTCCAGCATTTCTTGCTGATAATCACGAGTCTTTGGTATCGTATTGACAGTGGCAGGTGGTTCTTCCATTTTGTTCTTCCTGACAGATGGGTCACAGGTGGTAGAAAGACAAGACGTGAAAGAAGGACAGCGCGCTAAGCTGATTTGTGTCAAGTCGTATCAGAGCGCCGCACCGCTCCTTCGCGCCTTATCCGTCGTACGAGAGCCCAAAAGGAAAAGTGACGCCGGTAGGTGATCTTCCAGTTAGGCAAATAATAACGGAGACCTTCCTCTATGGTCGATCCACAGGAGCGCTATAGTGGGAGCTTCCGGATCGCGTGTCCAATGAAATCTTCAAAAGAGTAGTGGACACTGCGGACCACGCAGCACAAGCCGAAGGATCAAACGTGATGTTGGGCGTGAGAGAATTTCTCGCTTGTGTGGTCATTGAGGCGCTCATTCTCGAGCAGCTTGGTTATGTCTCAACCAATTCCTCTCTCTCGTTTGGGGTCACCAGCTTCATCAAGATTTCTGACTGAGGAACAATCTCCGAGAAATATCGAAGACGTGTTCCCAACTACGCCATTGTTCGACCAGCCTCCAGATCATATAACTTCACCGTGGAAACGTGCCCTCTTCGACTTGCTCGAATCTCCAACATCATCTTCGTCGGCCTTTCTCGTTCACTTTGCATCAACTTCTCTCATTGTATTTTCTGCCATCGTTACAATTTTGGAGACCGTGCCAAGTTTTCACTCTATTTCCCCTCGAGTATGGTTTGGTCTAGAAACAAGTCTGGTGCTTCTTTTCACCGTAGAATACTCCGCACGGTGTGTCGCATGGAGCTCCTCTTGGATCTCATTGGTTAAATGGATGTTCTGTGCGTGTAATCACATCATTTCCGATATATTTTCTCACGTGAACCATCACCCAGCCTTCTATGGGGTCATTGACATGCTGGCTATACTACCCTATTACATTGAGATAATGCTGCGGCAAGATACCGTGAGTGATCTGTTGTTTACTCACTTGCCGAACTGACTTTTGACAGTCTGTTCTGTTCCGCTTCTCCATTCTGCGCATGTTTCGTCTATTGCGGGTCTTCAGGCCCTTCCGATACAATAGCACCATACTTCTGTAAGCACACACACATCTCTTGATCCGAGGGTACATGTGATCATCATCATTTCATTAAGAACCATCGAGGTCATGTATCTGGCTGTTCGTAGATCACATCATGCATTACTTGCACTTAGTTTTTTTATTGCCATGGTGTTGACTGTGTTCAGCACACTACTGTGTGTACCTTACCACTCTACTCAATCCGACCCTTTTTCACTGAACGCATTACTCAGATACTTCTCAGAGCGTGGTACTTGGGACGATAATTTGGAAACGTTTATTAATTCAGACGGTGACGCAACTCAGTTCCAAGTACGGATTATTCCTTGTGCCTGTCTACTGATATTTATTTAACGCTTATCTCCATATAGTCAATACCTGCAGCTGCTTGGTGAGCCTGTGTTTCTAGTCTCGTTACTATTTTATTAAGACCCAGACAGGTTCGTGCTAGTCAGTAAGTAGGGGCCTGGCACACTGCGGCGTCGCGTCCTGCTTGCTCACTTTCCTTTCCCAAATAGCAATTACTACAGTGGGTTATGGAGAGATTACACCTCGCTCTATTCTCGGGCGCTTGATCACAGTTCCTCTTCTTGCTTTTGGCTTGCTTCTTATTGCCCTCCCAAGCTTCGTTCTCGGTAGAGAATTCAGCCTGGTCTGGGAGCAGATGGCCGATGATGGGGTTTGTTTGTTTCATTCCCCTTTACAACTTAACTCAGCTAGATGTTCTGCTTCTCAGGGCTTCGCACGAGAACATGACCCTGCTGTGGTCGCTTTGGGTCACCATCGGCTGGAATCTCAACCTTCAGAACCCCTAAAGGACCTTTCTAATCGGAAGCTCGCTCAAAATCAAACTGAGTTGAGTCAACAGATATCAGAACTACGAGCGACGGTGGAGATGCAGAGTGAAATGATTGGGGAACTACTTGGATATCTTCGCGTAGAGGGAACAGCGAAAGGAAAGCGTAGGGAAATTGTTGTTAGAAGTGCTGTGAGCTAACACATGTAGGGTTTGTAAACTTGGCTGTTGTTTCCACTCTCAACTTGAGCGTCTGCCGTCGGGTTACCGGGACGTGTCGGAGGTGATCTAGCGTTATCGTTGATCACGCTGGTGCTTCACGTGCATGTTCTTCTTGCAGATATTAATATTGTCTGCCTCATATGTAAGTTTGTATGTGTATCGATGCCACCTCGAGAGCCTAGAGCCACCAGCCCCCGTCCCGGTCCAGACAACCCTATCGCTATGAAGGCCATTGGTGCAAAGCCAATTAAACGCCGAGGTGACTCGGACGTCTATACTGTCTCCATCCTCGGCAACCTCAACACCGGTGCCCTCATCATGGACTCCCTCGAAATCTTGAGAAGACATGCCACGAAGCCCATCTTTCCAAACAACTCAAAACCCTTGATACGCGCCACCCGTTTAAGCCTCCTTCAACCTGTTCTTAAGTTTATCTTTGCACGTTGCACAGTCCTGCCAGTGCCAAGTTCTTCATCAGAGCTCGTTCGGCGGACGTCCCATTACCATGGGATAAGAACCGTGATGCAGACTGGGAGCTCTGGAGAAGGGGTACAATGACGGAAAGTGGATTATGGGCGATGCCTTTTCATATGCAGACGTCATTGCTTCTTGGCTACTGCTGTACAAATGAGTGCTAAAGGAGGATGAATGGGTCTGGATCATTTCTTGCAATAGGGGGAAATGGGCTGAAGTCCTTGCAAATGTTGAGAAAGAGTGCAAAATGCTTCAGAATTCTTAAAGGCTTGCGCGTGTAGGATCTATTTCAGGTACATCTGAAATGCCAAATGATACATTCCTTTGACAGGTATTGCTACATAGCAAACTCAAACCACCATCACCACAAAGGGCGCTATCACTAGCACTTGACGTCCTTGTAAAATGCACAACTACAGGCTACTGTAGGAATGGTCACTGCCTTCCTTATGTGTCATGGGCTGTTGGGAGTTAACCAAGCACTATCACTGGCTGTGTTCGGGACTCCGGGTATCTGATCTGACTTGTACGTGAACTGCCAGTTCTTCCCGATAGTTCCGCAGATGCTGACAATACCCTCCGCCCGATGTGGACTAGCATGCCATCACAGATCAACACCAGCTCCAATACACTCGGTGCTTACGAATGAAGCCCAGTCTTAAAAACGAGTTTCAAGGTTGGCCACAGCACATCGAATCCCTCGTGACAGTACTCCACGATGCAGCCACTTGTCCTGTATGACATCGTCTCCAAGCTACCAGGGAATAACTGGTCGTCCAACCCCGCAAAGCCGAGGTTAGTACTTCGTGTTCTGCATGCCAAGCTTTGATATCTGACCAAAGTATGCTGTGTCCCAGGTTCGTTTTGAGCTACAAGGATCTTCCGTTCGTGACCCTCTGGGTCGAATACTCAGACATCCCCATCGCTATGAAGGCCATCGGCGCAAAGCCAAACAAACGCCCAGACGGTTCGGACGTCTACACCGTCCCTGTTCTCAGCGATCCTAACACCGGTGCCCTCATCACGGATTCCCTCCAAATCGCATCCTACCTAGACAAGACATACCCCGAGAAGCTCGTCTTCCCAAACAACTCAGAACCCCTGATACGCGCATTTGATTCCGCCCATTCAAGCCTTCTTCAACCTGCTGTTAAGTTCATCTACGCACGTTGTACAGAAATATTGAGTCCTACCAGTGCCGAATTCTTCACTAAAGCTCGTTCGGTGTACGTCCCGTTGCCCTGGGATGTGAGCCGTGATGCAGACTGGGAGCTACTAGAGAAGGGGTACAATACTCTGTACGAATGGTACCAGAAGACTGATGGGAAGTGGATCATGGGCGACACTTTTTCGCATGCAGACATCATTGTTGCTTGTGATTTGCTGTGGTACAAACGAGTTCTGGAGGAGGATGAATGGGCTAGGGTCAGTTCTTGGAACGGGGGGAGATGGGCCCAAATCCTTGCAGATGTTGAGAAGGAGTGTAAATTGGCTTAGAGGACTACGTATACTATACAATTTATTTCAGGGACGCTCGGAAGAATGATGAATTCTTTCAAGAGATATATAAGCCTAAGCTACCATATGCATCGTAGTCACAACGTGCGCACCAAGGTTCAAATGTTCACGGCGTAGGATCCCGGTCAACGGTGGTCGTGTTGATCCCAAGCTTAAGCCGGCCCGCCAGACTCGCGTGGCGAAATCGAAACAGCGCTGCCGGTGAAACAAGTAGTAAGTTAAAGTTTATAAATATTCATTCATGAATTCGGAGTCCGAGGAGTCTATTAATACGATGATGTCATGACCCCACGTGACTGCGGCGTCAATGGGCGGCGACCTTAGCCTGCCAGTTGGCAGCCAGCTGTCAGCATCACCCCGCTTCATGCACCGAATGGATCCGAGAGTTCACAAGGAGAAATCAAAGAAAACTGCGGGGAAAATGTGCTGACACGTACAGGAATTTTGTGACTCGGCTGTTGTTTTCACTCTCACTGGCCACAGCTTGATTTTAAATTTAGTGTCAGCCTGAGCTGCCCCAAATCCGACCAGGCGGCTTTGGCGACCTTCAAGCTGGCCTGTCACGACTTGATGTGTAAAGATGAGGTAAAATTCCAGCAATACTCACCGTGGTACGATATCTTTACGCACATGTTCTCCATGAGGAATTTTAATGTGTCAGTATGCAGTACATCCATGTGCGCTAATCAAACTTAGATGATTCAGCGAACGAATGGATCGGAAACTCAGCCCTGTGCACCGCAGAAGAGTCTCGATATTACTACACTGCAGCACTTCACACTGTCTTTACACCCCATGTCCCAGTACTCCACGATGCTTCCGCTTATTATGTATGATATCGTCTCCAATCTACCGGGTAATCACTTTTCACCCAACCCCGCCAAGACAAGGTCAGTAATTCATGTTATGCATGCCACTTGAAGCTTTAATGTTTAACCAAAGTCTATTTGCCCCAGGTTCGTGTTGAGCTACAAGAATCTCCCATTCGTGACCCTCTGGGTCGAATACTCGGACATCCCCATCGCTACGAAGGCCATCGGTGCAAAGCCAAACAAACGCCGGGACGGCTCGGAAGTCTATACTGTCCCCGTTCTCAGCGATCCCAACACCGGTGCCCTCATCACGGACTCGCTCGAAATCGCATCCTACCTCGACAAGACATATCCCGAGAAGCCCATCTTCCCAAACAGTTCAGAACCTCTGATACGCGCGTTCGAACCCGCCTATTTAAGCCTCCTTCAACATGCTATCAAGTTTATCTTCGTGCGCGCCACAGAAATATTGAGTCCCGCCAGTGTAAAGTTCTTCATTAAAGCTCGTACGGTGGACGTCCCGTTGCCTTGGGATGTGAACCCTGACGCAGACTGGGAGCTACTAGAGAAGGGGCATAATACTGTGTACGAATGGTACCAGAAAACTGATGGAAAGTGGATCATGGGCGACACTTTTTCGTATGCAGACATCATTGTTGCTTCTTGGCTGCTTTCGTACAAACGAGTGCTGAAGGCGGATGAGTGGCTCAGGGTCAGTTCTTGGAATGGGGGGAAGTGGACCCAAGTCCTTGCAGATGTCGAGAAGGAGTGTACATTATCTTAGGAGAAGACTTGCATGTATATAGGATCAATCGATTAAGGGGCATGGAAACGATAATGAATGCTTCATAAGTCGCCTCAGTTGAAGTCCTTTGGACCTCGCCTGCACATACGATGACAATGTGCACGTTATACAGCAATAAGTGCGTTAGCACACCGAAGTATCGATCAGCGCTCAGCTGTCACAAAACCAAGCACGTCCGATGAGGAAATTGCAGCAAGCCACGCATAAATTACCGCAAACGGCACCTTGACTAAACTTGAGTGACAAGCTCTCACACCAAAAATACTGTGTACTCCCTGTGTACTAATAAAATCCAGGACAGCTGAATGCCCCAAGAATTGGCAATTTCAGTGGAAATGTACCATTAACGTGGAGGGTTGGTTGGAATCTATAAAAAAAATATGTTCGGCGAAATCCAGAGCATCTCACAGGTTGCCAACTTGCAGGTGGATCTGGCTAGAGCAGGCCTCATGGAAAATGCTGGGAGTATATACTTTGATGTCGGACTTGGAGTGAACAAGTGACCATGGGCGGAGGCTTTGCCACGTCATATACATGTAGCGCACCAGGCTGGGCACACAGTATAGTGTGGCCGAGACAACGCATGAGCTGGCAAAATTTTGATCTGGGCTTCGTGTTTAGTGCTGGCGATGTTAGAAGGTGCCAAGCCAGTTCGTACTAGGCACTAGTGCTGCCACTATGAAACAGACACCACCTTGCCAGCGGCGATGAGTAGCATACGGATGCACTGAAACCAGAGTGGCTGAACGATTGCCGCCGGCCGTAAAACCACGTCCCAGAGCTTTGATAGGTTCTTTGTAGATCCGTTGGAAATGGGTATCATCACAATGGCTCTTGAGGGAAAATTTTGCTAGTCACAGCTGCACCAATATTAGTCGTGGTCCTGACATCGGTGCGAAGAAAGCCTCCACGTAAAGGCGAAGGCAGTGAGTTTGAGCATATTTGGGACTCGGCGTCGTGGCGTTGATGAGTCGGTAAATGATTGGTAGCTCTTTGCTTTATTAAGCAACGTACGTGAGCAAAGACGCTAACTAAACGAGCACGAGGTTGAATTGTGGGATGGCCGTGACACCAATTACTCATTGTGCATCATTAATCGGAATTTGTTTTGTTCATTCGGGTCATGGATCAAGAATTGGGAAGGAAAAAATTCACAGCCCATGCAGAGAAACGTATATAATGCAACATTCATGGGTTCAACGCTACATCAACCAAAGTCAGCCTTCAGATTTCCAATGCAGCCCATCATACTGTACGACATACCAAGCAAGGCCCCAAATGCTATATGGGCTCCAAACCCTGCAAAGACCAGGCAAGTCGCGCAGTCAAAGCCAGATTACTGCATGTTGCTGATATGCAGACGTTAGGTTTTGCCTGGAATACAAGGGTCTCCTGTATACGATCGTCTGGGTAGAGTTCAAGGATATTCCCTTGACGATGAAAACACTTGGTGCTTCAACTACGGAAGGAGGCAGGTACACCCTTCCAGTGATCAAGGATCCAAACACTGGATCCATCGTCGCCGAGTCGCTGGCGATCGCTGAGTACCTGGACAAAACTTATCCAGAGAAGCCGATCATACCACGCGGCGCCAACGCTCTTATATGGTTATTCGAGCCTGCATACTGCAGCGTTGCCTACGGAAAAGTGGTCAAGCTTATCTTGACGAAGACCCTCGAAATTATGAACGATTCAAGCAGGGAGTACTTCATTCGGACTCGCTTGGAGCTGCTCGGCGAAACGCGCTGGGAAACTGTGTCAGAAGAGAACGTACAGCAGCAGTGGGAAGAATTTAAGAAGGGTCTTGATGAAATCGATAAATGGTACCAGAAAAGTGGCGGGAAGTGGATTATGGGGGATACCTTCTCGTTCGCGGATATGGTGGTGGCTTGCAGGACGATGTGGTGGAACAAAATATTTGATGAAGAACAACTCCGTGAGCTTCATTCTTGGAATGGCGGGCGATGGGCGCGTGTCTTGGCAGACGTGAATGCGGAGTGCGGTACAGATTTGTAGGAAGCCAATGTCATCACCAAAATTACCGAATCCAGAGATCACATGATATATCGAATTTTCTGACGCCGCCAATTGTATATACCTGTGATATCCGACATTTGAAATATCGTAGCGATAGTATCAATGACATCAAACATACCATCTGTCAGACACAAGTCATCCAGTAGAGTAGCTGTCAGCCAGATATCAGACATATCCAGATACATCCAATGTATTATATAGAGTAATACAACGAAAAATGGGTGAAACTGAAGTAAAGTACCTAAAGGGCGCCAGAACCTTCCTCCATAAGTATTTTATCATCGAGTTCCTCGCCGTCGTCCGCCACAATCTCATCCTCGTGGAGAGTACAAATGTTCAAACTTCAGCGCTGCAGCGGGGAAAGTGAGGGCAAAATGACTTGCAAATACGATCACATGACTGTTTAAAGCCCGCCGGCAAATTCCTATCAACTATGTTGACGTGCTATCTTTGCTTATCCTCCCTCTAATTCTATACCAATACCAACACCACTAAGTCCAATCACTCGATATGTCTCTGCAATTGTCACCATCACTCATACTGAAGGCCACCTCAACCTGACCAACAGCACAGTGTTTTTCCATGACTATATGCTATCTGGATGGCCGACTTAGGTGAGTGTATGCACATATATGCATATGTTATGTACTTATTTCATCCATCCGATAGATCCAGCATTGTCTACTTGCATCATCGATATCTATTTTACAGCTTCCACGGACTCATCTGCACATCAGGTACGAAACTATCTACTATATCTAAATTTGTCTGACCATTGCTACTGTAGTCTCTTCTGCAAATCCAACATACGCTTATAAGACATCATATGTCAGATTCAGTCAGAAAGAAAGGTGAGTTGTCCATCTTTGTGCTTCGCACAGTCGATGTCTTATGTTGCTTAGTGTTCGAAGCGTTTGACGCACTTCTCTACATTTTCCCCATTGTTAAGTCATAGCTCTTTCGAAATTTGTGATGCCTGTTCCATTCGTACGCCACTCTGAAGTCGACATTCTCATTGTCATTATTGCCGCTGGCCCTGGCAAATGCAAGAGTGATTGATGTCTGCGTCGTCGACCAAAGGTCAGTGGTTCAATCACTTCCATTTCTGCTTTTAACTCGACTTTGCGCTAGAGCTCTCAAAATAACCACTGGTTATAGTCATGGATGCTTACCTCACATTATCATAGCGGTACGTCTTTGTCTTTCGAGACGGGCTTGCAGAATATATGACTGATATTGATGTAATCTACTAGGTTCTCCTGGGCAGGCACCTTGCAGCTTCCCGGCACCTGTTCAATGCAAACTTCTCCTTTGAGTGAACCTCCGACGTCTCCTCCACCTGCTGGACACAAAATGAAACGAGCAGCACCAGTGCCTCGAGCTGGTACCCATGGTCGTGAGAGTTCTAGTAGCTATTTTCACTGTAAGATTTTACGGTTCGAGAGATCGAACACGTTCTGAACTAGGTTCGGAACTGTTCACTCAATTGTACCTCACTGCTTTGTACTACCATTAATTCAATGCATCACATTGTTATATCCGAACGCAATTGCAATGTCTGATGAATCTGAGTGAAATTCAAATGCATTATGTACATAGCAATGTTTGATATATCAGTACACTAGCCTAATGCCAGACTATAGTCATATGGCAGTCGCAATGTCCGAATTGAGTTTCCTAACATTGCCTTGCATTGAGACTTGCGCCAGATACATATGGCAGTTATGGTGGCTCCGACATGGTAATATATGACCATCTCTGGATTTGGTAATTTCGGTGATGGTAGTCACCGTGACGGTAGCTCGGGTATTTTTATGTTAAAGCTTTCTTTTCTGACGACTAATCAGTGCACGTGTGACAACGTTAACGGCACAAGGCGTTCGGAGTTATAATATGTGGTACGGCTGGTGTCGGTACATCAAACTGTCCCAGCGGCCGTGCACACCTGAGCCGCGGCGCCTGAGCTCTTTGTACACAACCATGATCCCACGATCGCGTTAACTGTTGATAAGCGACACATGTTCAAGGGAAAGGTGCTGTCGAACCTGCAGCTATCATCAAGGCTACAAGTTGATCCGTTGATTTATTCATAGGTATATAGTACTAGCTAACGTTGCTTTTCTGATCGAAATTACTCATTTATAGCGCATATAGTCACAGCGCCAGGTCGAGCTGCTGGGTAACTGTTACTAAGTGCAAGTGCGTACTTTCTATTATTTGTGTTTGTCCTTGCTGTGAAAACAGGTGTTGATTTGATTCATCTTCGCTACATCAAAAATGAGGCGCGCAACAGTTGAGCTCAAATCCTAGATTTGACCTTCAAATGTGTTGGGAGTGCGATTGTAAGGATCCATGTGCAGTACTGCCGGTTGCCGATGAAGTGTTGAGTTGATCTGTTGATACTCCTCACGAGAACCACCTCCACTCGGCGCCTGCGACGGTGATTGTGACGGTAGTTCATTGCCTATGAACTGCATGTGCGAATTATGACCATGGTACGGAGTTTTACCTTGCTGAGAACTGCTGAGTTTGATGAGTAGTTGGGTACAGCAGGTCTCATCAGTGGTTTTGCCTGCTTACATGCACATGCTGCTCATGATGGTGACCTAGGTCTGGCGAATGTTCGTAGGCCCGGAAGACACATCACTACAAAGTTCCGGAAACGATCCTGGTGTATACCACTCTTATTTTGTGTCAACAATATTTAATCATCTGTACTCTCTTTGTTGTAGACCACGAGAAAATTAGGCTGTAGCAATGCATGGTTTCAAAAGAATTCCGGTGATGCATGAAGCACTACATTCATCTGGTCGGGAGTGCGATACATGTTAGCCATCTGGTGAAAGTCAATTCCTCCAGCACGGCGGCTGGGACGGCGTCGAGAGCCTTATGCAAACATCGAGCACTGGAAGGAGTCAAGGGATTGATTGCTCAGGAAAGCCTGCCATGCGCGAATCCCTAGAAGTACTAGTATAGGAGATGCAATGTTTATCTCTACTTTCTCTATTTGCCTAATGGTATATCTATCATTGCTGCTTCTACCTCAACCCTGTCAGGTTGATACTCCGTTTCCGCAGTGAGTGTTTGCAAGACAACAAAGCTAGGATCTCTACGAAACATTAGGTACATACATATTACGAAAATCTCTTTCGGGTTCCTTTGGGACCTGAGTTCCCCAGTGATTATCCCATCACACCCCGTGCAACTTCTTGTTGGAGTCTAGCGTTCCATCCCATCCCTTAATCCAACCTCGGATATCCCTAAGTTGGTTGTATAATTCCTCGAGAGATTCGCCCTCCTCTGAGACATGATCGCAATGTTCAGCTGGGCTGTGCCAACCTGCGAATGAAGCCGAGCGGCGAAGGCTATCCGGAGGGCGGATTGCAGTGGTCGTATTTGGAAGGACTAGTCGTTGAAGGCGTGGGTACATCGGCCTTTCTTCTGCGCGGAGATCAAGCTTTCGAGGAAGAGGAGCATCGTCGCCGTTCCTCCTCCCTCTTTCCTCGGCTACCGGATGAAGGATCGATGGTTGACTTCTGAGGCCAACAGATTTGTCATCGACTCTTAGTGGCATAATTTGCCGTGGCGCACTGCGCAATTGTGTCAACGGTGAGTTATGAGCGCCCCGATCAAGCCCTGGCCTAGTTCGTTGGATAGGTGGGGGAGAGGGGACAGGAAGCGCGTCGAGGGATATCTGAGTGGCGACTTGGGGAATTTTTACCGAAGTCTCGACCGCTGCTGCTTCGCCTCCCTGCTTTGCTTTTCGAGCAAGAACGGCGGTCGTCACTTGAGCCAGCGTAGGGAACACCTTTTCTTTTTTGGCAGACCAATCATCCTGGCCACATATATTATGTTGATGCGCTGGATTGGCAGGTTGACTCGGAGGGATGGGGAGGGCTGGGACATGCTTCGTAATCGGAGTCTTCTCCCCTGCCTTGCGCCTGTATATGACAGGCGGAATAGCACCACAGCTGACATACGCCTTCCGTACGACTTTCCGATAGTGGGAATCTTCTCCCCCGAGAGCAGTCAAGGCATCCGCACGAGCACACTCCGGAGAGCAGAAGCAGAAATCGTGATTTTCCACCGTCAATTTTCCGCAGAAACATTTCGTAATGCCCATATGGGCTTCTGAAAAAGGATTTTGGCGAACGCTAGTGTTCATATTGTATGGGCGCTTGGCGTAGAATTGAATGGGCAGTGACTCAATACTCATACTAGATGTAAGAGCTTTATAGCCATCGAATCTTTGCTTGCTTTGGGTAGTGGACTGTGGCAAAGCCACTGGCACGTACAATGAACAAAATTATCTGTGGAATGACGAGGCCGTGAATGCGCCCCTGGGAGCGTTTGACCGTTATTCTTGTGCAGCTCAAGCACTGAATCCGACTCCGGAAGCATGACCACCAGCTGAGCGACAAGCGAATAGAATGCTCAATTTGAGAGGTCTATGATCATAGGCATGTACGCAGCAGCCCTCCCGGATGCCAAAACCGTCATAAAGGTTTGAATGAGCCACCCTGCCACGATGCAATTATGATGGCGCCTGGAATGCATGGAACTGAGCTTTGGCCGGATCTTTACTGGCCAGACAAAGCAGAACAAGAATGTTATAGCCATATTAATCATTATATATAACTTGAAAGGCCTATAGATGCATACCTTGCTTTGATCTTGAACAAATCGACGACCAAGCACCTCGGACTTAGAAAAGCGGCCATCTCAAGGCCATCCGGAATGTAGTCAAGACTCCCTTCTAATCATAATTAGTACTTGCGCGTGGATGACAACTGTGGTTGTTCGATGCACGCAAATTGTGTTGGGGTCTGGCAAGTTTATGTGAACGATTGACGGCTGACTATTACGCTACGTGGCTTCTGCCAAAAACGATCGTCTGCATCTACTTCCAGGTAGCTGTCTTCGACTATTTGCCAATCTTGCTTTTTCTAGTACTTCACATATAGATTCAACGTAGCTGGTCTACTCGTGGCTGATCTTGAGAACGATTTGAAGACAAAGAACTTTCAAACTTTCAGATTTAGATGTCTGATTCATTCGCAGACCTCTGGAGCTCATCTGCCCCATCCAATCCCACATCTCCGCAGATACTTGGGGCTGCCAAACAACGAACAACCATTCCTCAACGGTCCCAGGATACATTCTCCATTCTTTCCGCTTCTCAATCAGCCTCACGCACGCATTCCCCACATGTCACCGGTCCCACCACCCAGCCACGAAACCCTGTGCCAGCAGGTGGAGCGAGAAATGTAGATGCATTCAGTAGTCTTTTTTCTGGCTCGTTAGCGGATGGAAAAAATAACAATACCGCCAACATGACCATAGCTGAGCGCGCGGCAGCGGCTCAGAGAGCAAAGTTACAGCAAGCCCAGGCACCTCCCAGGACCACTGCGCCCTTACCATCTGCTTGGGACGGACTTGATTCTCTTGCACGACAGTCGGCACCTTCACATCCTTCACCCTCTCGTTCACCACAGGTCGACTTTGATTTCTCTGCGTTTGCATCTTCTTCAGCCACTATCGTGAAATCACCGGTGGGAGATAATGATTGGCCTTTACCTGACTCCACGGCTCCTCAACCACAGTCTACTTCTCAAACAAAGCCTGCAGGAACGCTCTGGGACCTTGATGATTTTGAATCATCTTCTCATTCTCCTTCTAATTCCCCGATCCCTCCTCGCTCACGTACACCTGGTGACTTTGACTTTGGTAATCGTGAGGATGGCCTTTTGGAGGCCCACTCCGATGATAACAATGATGACATCTTGGGTGACCTGGCACGACCAGTCGATGCAGTCAAACCGTCTTCACACGTATGTCGCACTAAAGTTCCCCTGTCGATTTGCACTCATCCTTCATTGATCGGGCAGAATCAATCGATTCGTGCTACACCATCGCCTCAAGCTCCACAATTGCAGCGTCTTTCATCAAGGCCTGTCTCACCACCTCCCCACATCGTCGGGCAAATTGTAGAAATGGGATTCTCTCCCCAACAAGCGCGTATAGCGCTTGCAGCTACGGATACTGGTCTTGATGTACAAGCCGCTTTGGAGACTCTACTCGCAAACGGTGCTGGTAATTCCTCTACCCCACCTCCCTCGTCGCATGACTACGAAGTTCGACCGCCCCCACGACGCCCACCAAATCAGCGTATTAACTCAAACCGAGACAGGGACAGAGAAGTACTGCGTAGTACCGAATCAGAAACACGTCAATCTCCAGATCTTAACGTGCAAGCGGAGAAGATTATCGCACAAGCTAGTGAAATCGGTATAAGCGTTTTTAATCGCGCAAATGCTTTCTGGAAGGAGAGCAAGGAGAAAGCACAGCGAATATACGAAGAACGTGCGACTGCGGCTCGAGCTGGGGCAGGGACCAAACGAGGAGATGGGAGACCGCGTTGGATATCGGACGAAGTACCGGACAGAGCTGGTGTGGAGCAACAGGATAGGAGAGTGACTGATGGGTTCAAGGATGACGATCAAAACCCCCCTCCGACTAGACGATTAAGACAAGATGGGCCCACTAGACAACCTCCCTTACAGCCTGTCGAGTTGCCATCGCAGTCTCAACCGAAAGAAGTGGATCTTCTCTCATCCGAGGCCCCCGTTTATCAGTCTCCATTCCGACGTGGTCGTCCAACACCGCAGCCTCAGCCTCCTGCAGCTCCTTCCCATCCTACTCCTGTTCCCTCACCTCCGAAGCCACAACGTGTACTGGTCCCCGCATCGTCTTCAGCCCTCTCAACATCTGCTTCACACAAAGCTACGGGCACGTCCGCATATAAACTCGGGCAGTATGCAAATGCAGAATCAGCTTATTCTCTTGCTATTGCTACACTACCAGCCTCACATATCCTCCTCGTTCCACTGTACAACAACCGTGCGCTCGCAAGGCTCAAGACAGGTGAGACCCGTGGCGCAATAGAAGACTGTGAAAGCGTGATAGAGATAGTTGGTAATGACAGAGGCGTTATCGAGGGGGTAGATTTAGGGGATGCCCTTATGAAAGCTTGGCGAAGACGTGCAGAAGCCTATGAGGGAAGAGAGAAATGGGAGGATGCAAGGAAAGACTGGGAATCAGTTGCGGGGGCTGCATGGGCGCCATCGAATATACGTGCCGAAGGCGCGCGTGGAGCTGGACGATGCAGACGGATGCTCAATTCCAATGCCGACGAGGACGCTCCCGTACCAAAACCCAAGCCAAAGCCCAAAGCCCCATCGGTCAAGCCCGCGCCAACGCATTTCGACTCGGGGGCGCTCAAGGCTTTGCGTGCTGCGACCAGTGCAGCTGAAGCCGAAGATAATCAGCGGCATGAACTCAAGGATTCCGTTGATGCTCGGTTAATAGCATGGAAAGGCGGGAAAGAAGCTAACATCCGTGCATTAATTGCTAGCCTCGACTTGGTGTTATGGCCAGAGCTGAAATGGCAGAAAGTGGGGATGCATGAGCTTGTGTCGAATGCTCAAGTAAAGTCTCGTTACACGCGTGCCATTGCGCGTGTACATCCAGACAAGGTCAGTTATTATTATGACAGTTCCTGGGTCCCGTCAGATATCGATATGTTGTCTTTGTCATCTACCGTTTTCTTGGCCTGGATCACGAAAGCTGACCATATCTCCTGTAGCTGAACGCGCAAAATACCACTGTTGAACAGAGGATGATCGCCAATGGGGTGTTCGGTGCTTTGAATGAGGCGTGGAATGCGTTTCAACAGTGATACCTATTCAGTACAAGGATTCGCCCTGTAATAATGGAAGGTAATGTGGGACTACATCTCACACATACCTTAAGCTTGGTTTCAATACGGATGCCGCTTTTCCAATTCCTATGTTTCTTCACGTGACCACGCGACAGGCGGAGTATAGAAAACAGAATACCAACCATACAATGGGAGGTATTTGACATATAAGTGCCGGTTCTGGTCTGTCTTTCCTTTTCTTGTCAGTCCGTTACACGCAACTGAGGGTGCGTCCCGCTGTTTCTTATTCCATGCTAGCTAGACACTGAAGTACTAATCTACCGACAATAGGACTAACTGCATCTATATTTCATCAAAGTATACAGTCTAGGCTCAGCACGATCATGGTGCTACTGAAGGAACAGATTGCAAACCCAAGGTGGGTTCATGGATGCATGTCATCTTAAACATTTTAACAGCTCGACCGCGTAGCTTGGGAGATACGGAACACGCATCAGAAACAACCTTTGAAGCTATGGATTTGAGTGGACAGGAGGGACAAGGATGCCAGCAACCCGCCGAGGGTGTTCAAGTACCTCTTGCTCGTTCGTGCTCGAGGAAAGGAGAGGAGCATCAGAATGACCTTGCTCCACTCTTCCGTCTCCCAGACGAGATCCTCGTGGAAATAATAAAGCACGGGGGTGAGACGAAGATAGATGGGAGAGGCGATAGTTTGGAGAAGACAGTGTCGCATGTGTCCATGCGATGGCGAACTATAGTCATCTCTAATCCGTCACTATGGTCCCATATATCTGTGTGCCCGGAGGAAACACCATCATTCCTTCTAACGCGTATTCTTCGTTCTTTGGATATACCTATTAATGTCGACATATGTCCTTGGCCAACACCGTTCCCAAGAGCTGCACCACAGTCGTTACTTGTTCAACTGAACATCATTCTCCGTTATGCAAGTCGGTGGCGCTCACTCACTCTTCGGTCTGAACTGGTGGAACCGATGTTCTCTTTTGTTTTGCTTTATGTTACGCGTTACGGAACATATCTACCATCCCTCGAATGTGTGAGGCTATATGGTTCTAAGATGCAAGTCCATCTTTGGTCGCGGGCCCTCTTTTTCGACGAGCCTTGCACTCCAAGGCTTTCCACCCTCGAGGTTACCAACATGAAGATACGTCCTGCCATAAATGCCTGCAACTCGACAATCACAACTCTAGTCCTCACAAAAGATATACCATCAGAGATTGTAATTACGACTTTCAACGATTTCATGCGTGTTTTCGCCTCATTTCCTTTCCTCACCTCATTGGTAACCTACGGTCTCGTGGTCGACATTCCCTCACATCAGTCGTTCACTGGTAATCACCAGTACCCCACCCTCCGCACCCTAGGCATCCATCGCATCGATGACGCGCGTTTTTCCTCGATGATCGTCACTCTTGCATTAATGTTTCCCGGTGTTACACACCTCAATTTGACAGGGCCGTGGGCTGCTTCCTCGTTACTCGAAGCTGTACGACAAGTATCTGCAGAGCAGATATGGCCAGGCCTCCAGAAACTCGTGCTGAATACTTTTATTGGCCATAGATGGTCACAAATCCATTCATTCCTTGAAACGCATAGTGGTGGGGACGGCAAATATAGGGCACACTAACAAAAAGGATGGTGAATTCATCCCGTTGGGATTGTTGGTCATGGAGGACAGGACGCTAAAGTGGTGTTTTCAATTGGACCTTCATAGCACACGTCGGACTACAAGATCAGAAAATGCATGGTGGGTTAATTCTGGGGAACTGATTTTTACTTCATATACTATGATACAACTGCAGATTTGTACGTACAGTAAGTACCAGTGTTCATGCACACGCATGATGTCTTCAAGAATTAACTTAGATACGCGTTTTCTCCCTATACAGTTGCACGCTGAGCGTCGTTCGTTCCTTGTATGTACAGCCGTGCACGTCATCAGGCCTTCGAGCTTCAGGGATTGAGAAGACCCCGGATTTTGCTCAAGCGCTCATAATATAGTTCGAACTTTTGGTGAAATCACTCGCCATCTGATTTCCCGGTGTTTCCCATACGATCTCTTGCGCAATGCGAACATGTCAGTCTGTCATAATATACCAAATATCCCCTGTATCATTATCATTATGGGCTAACAAGTATCAAAACTACCGTCCAGGGTATTAAATGTATGCACCACAAAATACTATGTGTGATATGAATTAGCTAAGCTCGTCAAGTTGCTCTGGGGTAATGATATCTGTAAGGCCGAAAAAATCGTTATCACTGGTAGACCGCTTGGTAGAGAGAGGGGTAGAAGTGCTATTCAATGCGTCCTCAGCACCCTCCAAAGCAATTATGATCTGCTGGAGAATGCTTTCGATATCAGAGGAGGCGCGCTTCCGGTCATCAACGCGTCCCAAGCCCGTGTCAAGCTCGCGCTTCGTACTGTTGCTGCTTCCATCAAGGGCAGACAGTATTGTCGCAATAGTACCTCCCGCACTTACAATCCCCGCCGTCTTCCCTAAAATGCTTGAGACACTGGAGGGGATCGTAAAGCTGCGGTCTTCGAATTGGTAGGCTGGTTCACCCAAAGCTCCATTGACATCAACTCCGTCAGGAGTTTGGCTCAAGTCCCGCCTACTGCTGTTGCTGCCGTCAAAGGCGTTCACAATCTCATTAACACCTGATCCCAGGCTAATGATACTCCCGATATCTTTGAGCCAGGTCGACGCAGTGCTGCGCTCTTCGACGGGAAGGATGGAGTCCGCTTGACGTTTGACGTTAATATCGCTCAACACAGAGCTACCTTCTTGCAGGAGAGTCTGGAGCGCTGCGGTGATGTCGGAGGTAGTGTCACGTTTGATGTTAATATCGCTCAACACGGAGCTACCTTCTTGCAGGAGAGTCTGGAGCGCTGCGGTGATGTCGGAGGTAGTGTCACGTTTGACGTTAATATCGCTCAACACAGAGCTACCTTCTTGTAGGAGCGTCTGGAGCGCTGCAGTGATGTCTGCAGTGATATCGCGCTTCCTTGTGGAGGGCAATTCGTTTAACGCTGCTGCGATGGGTTGAACGATGTCGGAGGTAGTGTCACGTTTGACGTCAATATCGCTCAACACAGAGCTACCTTCTTGCAGGAAAGTCTGGAGCGCGGCAGTGATGTCTGCAGTGATATCGCGCTTCCTTGCGGGGGGCAACTCGTTTAATGCTGCTGCGATGGCTTGAACGATATCGGAGGTGGTGTCACGTTTGGAATCAAGGGACAGACTTCCCCCTGGCAGGATCACTGTCCCTATGTGGGGAGTGGCGAAACCGTTGCGTACAGATGTATCGGCGATCGTACTGTCATCCGTTGACGCTGTATCCTGTCTGGAAGTGATTCGATGAAGACTGTAAATGCATTCAGTGGGACTGCTCAACGATTGTCTGCGAGGAACGTACGAGTATGGGGCAGGCGCTGCAAAACTTGGGACGGTCGAGGCTACGACAGCGAGAGCGACAAGGGCAGCAAAGCGCATGATGGTCTTGAAGGTCTTGAATGAGTGAGGCTCGTGAATATTTGGAAATCAACGGCGGGTCGAGGTATGTGAAAATGAAAAGTTAATAGCTGAATGAGAGTGTACGAAGTTTTTCAAAAACAATAGGCTGTAACATGGTGAAGTTAGTAGAAGGCAATCGGATGGGATAAAATGAACGTACTGCCTGCACCTGGGTGAGCCGTGAAAGCGAAGGAGGTAAGAGGGCTGAGGAGTTAGCAGCTGAAGTGCGCGCCTTTTAAACAGGAGAAGACCATAGCTGACGCATCAGATTGCGCCTCCTCCCACAGGTCATAGGGCCCTACGCGTTTCAGTAGTTGGATACACTCCTTGAAACTTACCTGTGCTGCGTTGATACCGTGACGTCTGTCGAATGATGAGTAGTTTGCAGATGGACATCCGCTTTAGGATGCTAAAATGTTGACGCGGCACTGAGCTATATTGATACGGCCTTGATACGGCATGGGTGAGACTTGACATGGGGCGGACGCGGCAAAGATGAAGCTCGACCGTCCGACATAGCGGGGACGAGCAAATAGCCAGTATCTGCAGAAAAGTAATCTACTGGATTCCGCTTAAGCGCACCGTGGAGTCAGAGTCCAGATCACCATTAGAGTTAGTAGAGACCGCTCAGAGGTTTGTGACATGCTACAAGGTGGTTCATCCTCCCTGGTATAACTCCATGTACGACAAGTACCTCGCCGAGAATAACTTCTTGCTTGTGGTTTCCTGTTGTTCCTGAGTTACGGAAGTTAGTTTATGCGAGTAGCACAGCTGTATGAAAGGATCATAGCCGATGCATCAGATTGTACCTCCTCCCACAGATCATAAGGTCGTACATGTTTCAGTGGTTGGATACACTTATTGAATCTCGCCCGTGCTGCATTAATACGTCTGTTAAATGATGTGTAGTTTGATGACGGGCACCCGCTTCCTACATTATTCCAGGTCGATGGATAAAAAGGCCTGAATGAATATTGAAAGTTTGAAGACATCCAAGTCGGTGGTCCCAACCAGAAGCAAAGAGTGTCGTTGTCCTGAGCAGCCCAGATGGCGTGGCATGGCTGATATTTGTAGCTGGCATCAAACGATCAAATTGAAAAAATAAACATTATGATATCATAAAGAGTTGGTGAAACGATCATCGTTTCCTGTCGTTACCGTGATTGACTCGGGCGTCAAGATTCAACTGATGTTTAACGCGCGGCGCAAGCCTCCGCGGCAAGCGCTGGCCTCCTTGGGACGGCAATGCTTGACTATGGTACATCATCATCCCTGAGCATTCTACTACCCAGTGATTTATGAGTCCACTCTGCGACCTGCAGATAGATGAGATACCAGTAGAGATAGAATAAAGCTGCGTTATTCTTCCGAATTCGTTAGAGTAGGATCTGAAGGTTCGAATGGCATAGTTCTGAGAGTGCGTCAAAAAGCCGAGTAAAACAGGTTCTTGACAATATTTAAAATTTGACACCATGCTAGTACTCAGGCTGGGGTCAATTTGCACTTGTTTGACATAACCTTTAGTTTTCAATAAGGCAAGACAACGCCAGAACGCGACAATTCTATAAGCCTGCCTGAATGTTATTCTGCCGCAAAATTCCAACCAGGACTCCCATTTACATCTCATGTAGATCACGGTTACCTGCTCTGTGTCGATTTCTCGCTACAGCCACTGATACTTCCGCAAGCAAGCCATTCTACATTACTACACCAATATTCTATCCGAACGCAGGTGTCTACCCTGTTTCCTCCATAACTCCTCAACTAATGTCTCTCAGCTCCGCACATAGGCCATCTATACTCACTCGTCACTGCTGACATTTTCGCTCGCTTCACGCGCATATCTGAGCCGGACCGACTGGTGCACTTCCTGACAGGAACAGACGAACATGGTTTGAAAATACAAAAGGCCGCCAAGGACCGCGGAATAGAGCCTGCTGTACTCTGTGATGCTCTCAGCGAGCAGTTTCGTGTGTGTCCCGGCTTATCTCTTCTCAAACTCATTGACACAAAATGTGTTGCAGAGGCTTGGTAATCGTGCCAACATCAGTAATACAGTATTTTTGCGCACGACCGAAGCTAGACATAGAGAGGCTGTGGAACACGTTTGGGTATGTATATTTCTTATTCAATACCCGACGTTCTTAATTCATACTACATAGCGCACTCTTACCGCACAAGATCTCATCTATAAGGGCACATATTCTGGATGGTATTCCATTTCTGATGAATGTTTCTATACCGACAGCCAGATCACTCATCTGCCCTCCTCTCTAACTCCTGTCTCCATTGAGACTGGCTCTGCAGTTGAGTGGTCCAGCGAGTCAAATTACAAGTTCCGTCTTTCCAGCTTCCAGGAACGTTTGCTAGACTATTACACTACCAATCCAAAATCAATATACCCATCAGCTCACCGAGAAAGGTTGATTCAGACCTTGAAAGATGAACCTCTTGATGACCTAGTCAATTTCACGACCGCGGGAGAGATTGAGTTGGGGCATTCCCGTTCCAGGCGACATGTCGCATACTATGTATGTGTGGTTCGACGCACTGACGGTGTATCTCACTGGAGTTGGATTTCCTGCTGAGCAGCAAGGATCACTGTGGCCTCCTAACATCCAGGTCATTGGGAAGGATATTGTTCGGTATGTCTCGTTGTACGCCGGGCTTCATCAATAATACCTGATACCGGAATCAAGTTTTCATGCTTTGTACCTGCCTGCTATGCTCCTCGCGATGGGAATGCCGCTCTCGCATACACTTCTTGCGCATGCACACTGGACAGCACAGCAGCGCAAAATGTCGAAGTCTATAGGCAATGTAGCGGATCCATTCGATGCCATGGATACGTGGGGTGTGGATGCAGTCCGATTTTACATGGCACGCGTTGGTGGTCGTTTCAGAGACGATGTTGGTACGGCTATCTACCTTTTTCTTTCCCCGCATATTTACGAAGGTTATTTGACTTCCAAGATTGGTCTCCTGAACAACTCGAGAAGCACTGCAGGACGAAATCCGTAGTTTGCTCGGCAACTTCTTCTTACGCATCACCTCGAGAACAATCCAGAAACGTGTAGCGTCTGTGCCTCAACTCACGTTTGTTCAGCTCCTTGATCAGTCCCTCGATGGCCCCAACGGTGACGTGCTATCATCGCTACGTAACCTGAAGGGAAGAGTTGAACAATGTATGGAGAAGTTTGAGGTGGGGGATGCGCTCGATGCCATCATCCTTGTCCTCAGAGAGGTGCACAGTCTTGTTCATTTCGTGTTCAACCCCGCTGACGAGTTCAAAGGCGAACGGCGCATTAACACACACCGCGCCCTGGTCAATCCAAAGTCCGCCTGAAGCCGCACAAGTGTCCTACCTTCTCTCGCTCGAAGTTCTACGGGTCACTGGTATATGCTTGCAACCCTTCATTCCCGAGGCTGCGCGGAATCTATTGGATGCATTGGGTGTTCCGAAGGCAGAGCGGAACATGGATGCTGCAGCTGTGGGTAAGGGCAGTGTCGGAGAAGTGAAGGGTGTTAAACTTTTTGAGGGCAAGAGAGAGATAGCCAGCGGGGGTCAATAATTGTCTGCTGTGTAAAGCCAAGAACACGTGTTCGTCTACATGAGTGAGTAGTACGCGTGCACGCTCGATGCCATTACAGTGCACACCCCATCTACGCCGTCGTACGGAAGGCTCCGGAGCTCGAAAAGTCTTTCGAACAATATCGCAATGTCCACTTCTCTGCTCGTTCCCCAACATGTTGCATATATCAGAGCTCTCAGTGGAGATGTTGGTTCTTCTCTTACTCAGCGAACTGATCTCTGAGCTTTCAAGCAGAGCAAGCATGAGCTGTCCTATGATCTCTCGGCTCACCTAAGGATGAACGCAGTGTATTGGTCCCTGACTGCTCTTTTGATCATGGGACATGGGGATACGTTGGATCGCGATGAGATGATAGATTTCGTTATGAGCTGCTGGGATGAAGAGGCAGGTTTGTTCCCATCAAGAGATCCATGCCATCTCGAGCTCACATTCCGCAGGCGCTTTTAGCGCTCACCCTGATCATGACGTGCACCTACGTTCTACTCTCAGCGCAATACAAATTTTGTCGATGCAGAATGCGCTCAATAGAGTCGATGTTGACCGTGTTGTGAAATGTGCCTTGTTTATCTATTGTCGAATGGTTTACATCACTGACATGGACTCAGACATCTTATCTTTGCAGCAACCTTCTGGAAGTTTTGCAGGCGATGCCTTTGGCGAAACTGATACACGTTTTTTGTATTGTGCAGTCAACGCTCTCTCGCTTCTCGGCAAGCTTGATAAGCTGGACATCCAGAAAACGGTCGCTTATATCAAACGTTGCAGGAATTTCGATGGTGGATTTGGAGCTGTTGCAGGTGCGGAAAGCCATGCTTCACGAGGTGAGCATTATAACACATACATGATCTCGGAATGTTGGAGCACCATAGTATTTGTTTGCGTTGCGGCACTTGCTATTCTGGACAGATTGGATGAGGTCGATCAGCCGACACTGTATTGGTGGTTATCGGAGCGACAACTACCAAATGGAGGACTTAACGGACGCCCTGAAAAGCTGGAGGATGTGAGTTTCTGTGCACATGACTGCCCTGCAGTGTTCCTGATTCTCTGTTTACAGGTTTGCTATAGCTTCTGGGTGTCATCCGCCCTTTCTATCCTTAATAAGCTTACATGGATAGACTCGAGTAAACTGGAAGCCTTCATTCTTTCTGCGCAAAACACCGAGTCAGGAGGTATTGCCGACCGCCCGGGCAATATGCCTGATATCTTCCATACAATGTTTGGCTTGGCCGGTGTGTAAGGTGTTCCAATCTCAGAACCAACCTCAGAACTGTCTTCTTGACAGGTCTGTCATTATTGGGATACCCGGCACTAGTGGACCTTGACCCAGTATACTGCATGCCTGCGAGTATCATTGAAAATCTGGGTCTCAGGAAGGGGTGGAAGGCTTTGCAGAGAAGGACTTCGTGATTTGCATTTGGATTGAGGTTACATGGAAGAAGTGACCAGTGTTTGAAAGTAGAAATGATACAGCCTACACGTGTATTAAAACAGGTTACAAATCGCCCGCATCGATGATGGAATCAAAATAACTAATCACATTGTGGACTCTAATGACGTAGAATAAGGTATAAAAGTATTACGGCTGTGTCTACACACTGAGCGGCGGCGGCGGCGGCGGCGCTGAGGAATGAATCAGCATGAGGACGCATGATGGACACCGGAAATCACTCACGGCAGCAATAGTTCTCCAGGGGGTCGCAATGCTGGTCTTCGGGGCAGAGGATCAAGCAAGGCGAATCTACAGATGTCTGGAAATCCATCAGTTCTAACCAACCAGCAGCATACACGTGGCGTACTTTCAGATCATCCTCACTGGTTATAGCAGGACGATAATGGTATTCCGGCTGAATAGTGCTAGAATGAATGCCGTTCAGATGCAGAGCCTTGCGTATGTCCGCGGCGATAGGCATGAAATCGTGATTCCTCGAGGCCATGACATGTACGGATGCGACGATCTTGGATTCTGAAAGTTGCCAGATGTGAAGCTCGTGTACTGATAGGACGCCGTCTACTTTCAGGATGGAATCGCGCACGTCTTCGAGCGATACAGTGTGTGGAACTCCTTGGAGTAAGATGAACGAGGCATTCCGAACTGGAGTGGAATGAATTAGCGTCTCCGCGTTAGAACACAGCTAGGAGTGTCATACCTAGAGGTAATGCAGATGTGAAAATAATAATAGTGATGATGAGGCTGACTGCAGGATCGAGGTAGAACCGACCACTCCAATTAGTGAGCCAGATGATGAGACCTGTCACAATCACACCGATGTTTCCGAGAGCATCACCCATGACGTGAAGCATTAGGGCGCGCATATTCATTGACCCATGTGAATGACCATGACTGTGACTGTGACCACTCGGAAGTGGGGCCTCTATCGTGAAGGATTCGATTTTGCCTTGCTTGCTATTGAGAGGAGTCTCTGTAATGTTTATTTCTACCGAACCGTCAGGAACCATCCGGATAGAACGAGATGATGATGAGGCGTTTCGCTGGTGTGAACTAGGGGAAGCTATGGCAATATCCTGCGCGGCTTGTGAAACTGCAGCTCGGGTAGCGGCTGGGTGTCCGTACATCGAGGAGTAAGATCCTGTGCGACCACGAACTGTGGCCGATGAGTCCTGAGTGGGGTTGTCGTTGACGACGGCGTGTGTTGCATGTGATGCATGTACATGGTTGATCTCCTTGTTGCCATGAGAATGACCATGCGAATGAGAGTGACCATGTTCTGAGATATGGGTGATGAATATGATGAGGCAGTTGAAATAGTGCGACAGTACCATGGAACAAGAGAAATCCGAAAATGTTTGAGGCCAGACCGCAAGATCCCACTATAACCACGAGAAGTGGATGCGATACATCTTGATGGTAGGGTAGTGGTGAAGGTATGCAGTGAAATGCTTGTTGAACTGACCTTCAATATTAAAGAAGCGTTCCACTGCCTGCAGACTAACGGAGAAACACAATGCAAGTAGGAAAACACCATTGGTTAAAGCCGCAAGAATTTCGGCCCTTTGCCAGCCATAGGAGTAACGAGAATGGTCGGCGGTCTTTCCCGTCAACTGTTACATATGATTAAGACATATGTTCACTAGATAAAGACCGGGTCTGGCTCGAACCTTAATAGCATACAAAGCGACAACCAAACTCATCACATCACTACCAATGTCATTCATGGTCACGAAATATCATGTGGTTGAAGGTTGATACTTACTTGAGCATGTGGAAACTATCGGTGACGAGAGCCAGGGAACCGACAACATAACCTGTTGATGGGTGAATTCAATCATTGACCAAAGTTATAGCTAAAGATGTGGCTGACCGACGACGAGTTCCAAGAAGAAGAATAGGATATCAATGACAAGCAAGAGTGTGATACGAGCTGAACGAGATAGCGCCATTGTGATTTATACCCTTCGTAAAGCACTGGCAGGCAGCAGAGAGAATGAGAGAGGGATTTAAGTAGGAAGGAATGTCAAGCTTGGAAGTACTTGAACAAAGGACAAAGAACAGTATTGGAATTGTGATGTGATAGAACTAATAACGTCACTGTTTCAAAGGGCCGCTACTAGCATTATTACTTCGCCTCCTGACTCGGGCACGAAGACCGGATATATCAGCCACGAGTAATCCGCGTGTCCACCACTGCCCCAGAATAACAGGACGCGGATCTCCGGCGGGATGTTCAATTCAGTGCAACTTGGATTGAATAGATACCGTATTTCTAGTAATTCTCAGAGGGGTTGGACTCAAAAATCACGCAGTCTCCACGTGGGGACTCGTACCCTGGACTAGGGCGTAGACTTGATGGGGGTCCTTATCGATGTGGCGTGAGCATCCAGAAGTTCATCAGACTGGTATTTGCTTCTGGAAGTACCTTGAGTATATAGGTTTACCGTTTGCAAGGGAATCTATTAATATGGGATTCAGAAAGATAATATCAAGTTTGAAGAGCCTTACCGATAATAATCGGTCCCGGTCATCCATAAACATTTAAACATCATCGATCCATGATACCGAGTACTCGTATGCGCCCAGAAACCACTTCCTCATAACAATCAATCTGGCTTTTGTGAGGAAAGTTCCGCGGAGGGTGTGAGGCGGCAAGGCCTATACCCAACAGGCAGTAGATATGCCCAATATTTCGGTACCTGCTATCTGGCCTGTATATGCGGTTCCTATAACAAGTCGAAGATATGTGATTGAATTATCACTCACAATTCGACGATGCTCTCCGATCACCGTGGGTGCCCGGGATTCTATAGTACCCCAACGTTGGATAAGTTCATCCATGTTAAGTTGGTGTGAGTTTTTGACAACACATCGATACCGAGGAGACTATCGCCGACCACTCTAGAGCAAGAAAGTAAATCTATGTCGACAGCAGATGAGTCCGACGCCGCGGTGCCAGAGTGACGAGTCACTGACAGTCAGTTGAATTATTAGAAAAAAACGCGTGGCACGTGACTTATCATCATCCGCCACGGCTGGAATCCTTCTTTGGTCACCTCCTGTCCACACCTCTGTGACCCTTTCTAACTTGAATTAGTTTTCCACAAAACTCTCTCCTAGATGCTTTCTCTCCTGTCGTAGACACCCAGAGATGCCCCCAGGAACTCCCTATGCCTCGTTTGCACTCCCTTATCCCATCCGTGTTGATTGTTTCACCTGCACAGCTCATCTTCCAGCTCCGTACAACACACCGGCATTATATCTCCTCACCCACTCCCATACCGACCACATTATCGGCCTATCTTCAAAATCATTTGCTTCACGGGTACTATGTTCGCCTGATACAAAAGAGATGCTCTTGAGGCATGAGATTTATCCGGAGCGCGCAAAGAAAGATGCAGGTGAAGTTGCAATGAGGACGTTTGCTCATTTGAAGCTTGAGGGTGGAGCATTCAGTAGGGATTTATTGGTGAGTCCGAGAGCTCTTTTCACGCTCGTGTCCTGACCTGATGCATTGACATAAAGCGCGCAGTTCCATTGAATACTCCAACTGAATTTGAGTTATCACCGACTGAGACAGTGATCATTACGCTCATCAATGCAAATCATTGTCCGGGTTCCGTTATGTGCGTCTCATTTTATATGTTTTCTCCCTACCGCTCATCCCTACACAACAGGTTCCTCATCGAAGGTCCTCGTGGCACGATTCTTCACACGGGCGACGTACGCGCCGAACATTGGCTACTAAAATCTTTAACTCGAAATCCATTTCTCCAACCATACATCCCGGATACGGAGGAAGATCTCCGTGTTCTCATAGCGCGAGGCGGCCAAACAGCAAGCTTGACGAAAACATTGCATGCGATCTATTTGGACACGGCGTGCATGTTGAAGGGAACTGTTGTTCCCACAAAGGTGATTATACAAGATACTGTCAGACTAGTCAATGGTTTACGAACGTGAGCAGGAAAACGCAGTCAAAGGCCTGGTCGAGCTCATTGCGTTGTTTGATAAGGATACCTATTTCTTCATAAACTCGTGGACTTGGGGATACGAGGACGTGCTCAAGGGCATCGCACGGGCGTTCCAGTGTCAGGTAGGCAAACATCCATTTTTACGACTTCTAACTATATGTTATGGGTGATCTTTTCGTTCGTTTCGGAAATCATTGCAATTTGTATTTAACGGTTCTCGTCTTGCCATGGCACATATATGTGCTTACATGCTGCTTGCATGATCCTTTTTACTGTGTTCCATGCTGCCTCATATGTCACCTGCCGTGTCATCTCTGCCATTACACGTAGGGTTCTGTTTTATTGACATATCTACATTTCCAGATTCATGTCGATCAATACAAATATGCGGTCTACACGCATATATCGGACCCCTTTCTTCGTATGCTGGTCACTCGCAACGCGACAAGCACTCGCTTCCATGCTTGCGAACGGTTTAAGCGGTGTAGTTTCGTAGATGTACCCAGGTATGTTATTCCATCCTCTATTAATCGACTTCGCTCACCAATGGCATATTGTGATTTGCGTCGTGTTCATTAACTTATCTGTGATGGTTTACGAATGGTAAAACTTGCTATGTGTCTTCACTGGAATCAGTTTCGACTTCAAGAATGACTTAGCGCCACGGAGCATCGAGGGAAGGAAGGTCGTATACATCAATCCTGTCACTATGGGATGTGCGCAGTGGGAAGGCTATTGCATAGATGTACGAAGACGTCTTGCGATGGGGAAGGATATTGATCGCTTGGTCGGTATCACGCAATTTCTCACCCTTGATCCGTTCCTCTCCATTTTTGACTTCGGTTGATACAAGACACTGATGTTGGCATTCGTATAGCTCGTACCTCTCGAACGACATTCTCCCTTACCAGAACTGCTCAACCTTGTCTCCCTCTTCCGCCCGCGTCGGTTGATTCCTAATACCCTTGTGCTTGCTCTCGGCGGTCTCGACTGGACTGCGATGAACGCTATGTTCAAGGAGTGCATAGCACCGCCCATCTATGACCGTGGTGATCCCATCACAAATGAGTTTAGCTCGCTAGTAATTGCGCATCCCAGCGTCCTCGATCTTGCCTCCCTCAATCTCGCCGATACAGATTCGGCGATGAAAAACCTTGTGGGCGACTCTGCTGAGCTCGAAGCAGGGAAGTGGGCGGATGACGGGAGTATGCGACGACGGCTGGAGGTGCTTAGAGGGTGGTTAGGACCAAAGGAGAAGGGAATTGTTGATCGAGCACTCGGGCGTCTACCGAATCCACGTTCTGAGTATGGAGGCTCATCCCCATTATTGTTCCGGAACAATTCTGCGCCGGAAACTCCCAAAAGGACTCCCAAAACCCGCCTGCAGGTGAAACGTTCTGTGGAAGGCTCGGATGAATCAAGCTACTATGATGGGTCTGATGCACATGCCAGGACTGCGCGCCTGCTCTTTGCTGGGGATTACAGCATGGAAGGGTCGATTAAGAGCTGGTTGTCGTCGAGCCCGTCGCACATATCAGGGAGTGATGCGCAGATCATCGGTACCAAAAACTTGGGTCCTGTGCAAGAACAGTTCACTGCAGCTGCAACGTCAGAAGCTGTCGTTCAGGCTCCGGTATTGGAAAGCAGCGTCCAGGTCCCGGTGTTTATACAGACTACCGACACAGCGCTTGTCCCAGATATCACGGTCTCCGCTGATCAGAGCCTCCCTACACCAGTATCGTCACCTGTGCTGCGTCTGCGAGATGTCAAGGGGAAAGGCAAGGAGATAGCAAGTCAAACAAATGCTGAGATCACAGATTTCTCGCTCCCACATTCCTCCCCGCACGCACTCAGGAGCTCCTCACCCGTCCCTTTTCCATGGACATCTGACCCATTTGGCCAAATGTCCTGGCATGCGCTCACAATTCTCCGTTCCCCTGATGAACTTGACGAGGGCAAATCCCTGACCCATGCGCAGTCCACAATGTCCATGAGTGCATGTACATCTCCGATCGCATCGTTGGAGGATGTAGTCATGACCGAGGCAGAACTGTCATCGCTACCTGAACTACTCGATGTTAACTCCCTGAAGTCTCCTGAAGTGCAACATGTTTTGATTCGGATGTGCAAAGACACGAGTGCAGAGTACAATCAGCAGAGCATTGAAACATCTCGGAAAGACGTCTTTTCCCAAGCATCATCGGATGCTCCACCATCGCAGTGCTATCAGCCGTTTAAGAGTCTTTCCAATCAGAAGCATTCTCCTCATCCATCTCTCCCTCTAGCTCAGATTCAGAGTCAGCACAGCGATGGTCACAGGACAAAACGCCGCAGACTTGAAGAACATACCAGCGATGTTCCTGAGACAGAACACAGTGGCGTAGTTCAAGTCACTTCTCTCGTCTCCGCCCTCCGGTGTAGAAAGACCGAGGAATCCATCGATGGCCCCCATGATATGGCACATCCATACTACAGGTCGTTTAGGGTTCCATCACCAGATCCATTTCTTGATACGACCGGTAAATCAATGTCACCGTCTCACGAGCATGAGCAGCGTCCCTTCGCAATCCTACCTAGAAACCTTGCATCCAGTCAGTCGGCTCCGTTACTTGTATCCCCTCCTCAACTAGAGATCAGTTCTCAATGCCGAGGCCATGAATCCCTTGCAACGTCCTCTCCCTCCGTCCTCGTTACTTTAACTTCGCCGCGCATTATCGCACCCGCTTTAACAGAACCTCTTTTGTTGGGTAACACTTCAACTATCAGCCTCGCCTCGTCTCCGAAGGTTCCACGGCATTCTCTCGTTGTCTCAGAAAATTCTTTGAGCCCTCGTTCACGAAACCGACAAGAAATAGCTGAGAAACTGTGTCTAGCTCGTCCAAATTTGGTTGATCCCTCCTATGCAGTAAAACAATCAAGGAGGCTATCTCGGCTTAAAGAACGGTCGGTATCCATCATGCAAGATATGAGCTCGAGCGCATTTGGCTCGTCTCCGTCTCACTCTATCTCTGCGCAGAACAATGGTCCGTCGTCGACTATGGTCCGCCGGGAATTCAAACCTGCATCTCGTTTGTCTTCCTTTTCGACGTCGAAACAAGTCGCGGGAACAGCAGTTCGAGATATTCCTGCGAAGCGCTGGCGTGAGCCATTGGATGAAGATACAGAAGACGTGCACCAGACAATGAATTGGGAACGAAGTCGAAGGCTTGCGTTGGATGTCACGAGGGCGCTTGCTGCGGGGCAAAAGGCGAGGGATGTACTTCCACGATTAATGTGTACATCTGCTCGGCAAAGACGTCTCGCGGGCTAGTCATGGTGGATAAATGCATCTATCCATCAGCCCACGGTGTTACACGAATAATGCTAGTACTGCTATAGCACCTACTTTTACATACATCACCTCATGTTAATTGTATCGATAAATACGACACTTTGGGCCCGGGCAGAGTAGAATGCTCTTAGAAGACGAATTAAGGGGGTTGTGGGGACAATTGATACCGAGTCGCGTAACCGCTTTTATGTTACATCACGGACTTACGATAGCAAAGTTCACACCAACACTTGTCACTTATGGAACAACGAGTTGTAGGCTGTTGTGGGTGCCCTGTTACTACGTCCTTCGGCTATCAGGCCTTCAGGTGTTGTAAAAAACAAGGTGCGTGCGTTTTGGGGCACTCATAACAAGGTCGCCGCGGGACTCGGCCCCTCATCTATCAAGTTCTAGTGAAAATGTATAAAATGCCCAGTACACGCACATCGCATCTCTGCAGCCAGCCTACCCATCACAAATCTACCTCGATTCTGCTTGACACCGTTACTTTTCATAATAATGGCGAATACAGCCGAGCCCATCATTCCAACGACCATACCTGTTCAAACATTTGAAGGCCATGAAGGCGACGTATGTTCAGTTGCACTGTTCCCCGATGAACTGCGTATGGTGACGGGGTCGAAAGACAATAAATTTCGTATGTGGAACTTGGAGGACGGGACTGTGTTGCAAGTCGTGGAGGGACATAAGCATGAGTCCGAGCAGGCGCATGACTCGAAGTCAAAGTCCGACCAGCCGTCTGACTGGGTGGTGGGTTTGGCGATATCACGAGACGGGCAAATCACAGTAAGCGGTGTATTAAAGGGGAAATTTAGGGCTTGGAATGGAGAAACTGGGGAACCCCTCACTGCTCGAGACATTCGAGCACACGCAAATTTTATACGCTGGATAGACTTGTCTCCAGATGGAACAATGCTCGCGACCGGTTCAGCAGATATGACGACGAAACTATGGAGCACAAAAAATTGGCAGCTGCAAGGAAGTCCGATTCAATTGGATAGTCAAGTCGTCTGCGTTCGGTATTCACCGTCTGGCGGACAACTTGCCATCGCGACATCCAAGGATATCCAAATATATGATACACGCACAATGATACGTGTTACAGGCTTCAAGGCTTCAAAGTCGTGTAATATTTCACTAGCGTGGACACCCGATGGTACAAGGCTTCTCTCAGGGGGAGATGCTAAAGATCCTACTATACGGGAGTGGAATACATCGATTTGGAAGCCGGTCGGTGACCCATGGACAGGCCATTCTGGCGCGATTTATAGCATTGCTGTGAATTCCCATGGGACCCTGATCGCCTCTGCGTCCGAAGATAGCCATGTCCGGCTCTGGCAGCTTTCGAATCCACGGACCATCGCCATATTCAAGCACTTCGGCTATCCCATCTGCGTCACCTTTTCCATGGATGGCAAGCACATCCTCAGCGGAGGTACCGATAAGCGTGTCTCAAAGTGGGCCATACCAGAGGACGCGTTGCCTAAATCCAAGGTAAGTCTCCATCCGACTTGTGTAATATAACTTGATTCTAGCATAACTCATCTAGCCCTTCACGATAAACACGACAATCCGAAATGCGTTCATAAATGGGGACTTGCCTACGGCTGAAAAGCTACTGACACGGGCGATCAACGCTGCCGCCAAAATCAACTACATTTCTTACGCTTACGCCAATCGCTCATTTCTTATGGCGCAGAAATCCGAATGGGACCACGCGCTTGATGATGCACGTATGGTAAGATCCACCGTCGCATTTTCTCCTCCTTGACATAGGTTAATTGGCCACATAGTCTCTCGACATCCAGCCCTCTTTGATGGGCTGTATTTCCAAGGGCATTGCCCTTTGCGGACAAAACCGGATCGAGGCCGCAATGAAAGCATTTGACCTCGCGTTCATATTTGCAGACGAAGATTCGAAGACCATCCATTTTCTTCTGTTAATAAAGGCATGTCAGTGTGTTCTCTCATAGTCCTTACTCCCAACCGTTTTCAGGCCATCGCACTTTTTAATGCAAATCAACACGAAGACGCAATGGAGCGTGTCCACGAGCTGGCTACCGCCTGTCACAGTGCTGATACTCTTGCTTGTCGTATGGCCGAGGTGAATATCGACTCAATTAAGCTCGGTTGTACCTCGTCGATACTGATTATCTTGACTTTTGCATGTTAGGCGTATCTAAATGTCCAACTGGGGCTAAATGCCTTCAATGACGCGCGTCACAGTGAGGCTGCCGAGCACTTCTCTGTTGCTATCAACACTGGCGCTCTCTCATCTAAACCGGCCGTCGACTCCATATGTGAGGACTTATGTGTGGTACGTTGATATGATGCAGCCTCTCATGTCTCTCATGTCCAACTGGTGCTTTACGCAGCTTTTCGGGTGGGACATCAAGTCCTCGTGGAAAATCGCAAATCAGAAACGGTGCGATGCACTCGTTCAGTTGAGTAGATTTCGAGATGCCGTTGTTTCGTACCATCACATGATGGATATGAGTGATGAAATCACGCAGGCCAGCTGCCTCGATTGGTCCACTGGTAGGTCTTCTATAATATTATTCATACTGCAATCCTCACGTGTATGTCACTCAGCTTTCAAGGATGAATGCAGCACGCTCTCTGCTGCCAACGGAGATGCTGCCTTCGATGCGTGCGATTACGACGAAGCAATCGCTGATTATTCGGCAGCTATTGACCTCGGTTGTGGAACCTTCACTATCTTTTTAAACCGCTGTAAGGCGAATACAGAAAAGAGGGCATGGGAGGAAGCACTCCTGGATGCGCAAAAGGTGCGATGACATCTATTTTGTGTGGCTAATGCTCATTGTAATGCATAGGTCATCGAACTTGAGCCTTCGTCTTATATTGGATATCAGCTGAAGCATGCTGCTCTTCATGCCACACAGCGCTTTAATGAGGCTATCGATGCTTTCAACAGCATGTTCTCCAAGTTGGAGGGTGCTTCTGAGTTGCACATACGAAGTAAGCCAAAAATTTTCTACATCCGTCAAGATGCTCATCTCTTTCCCCAGACCTGCGCAAGCAGTACATCCGTCCGTTTGAAGCGGAAGCCGTTATCCAAAAATCAATAAACACCCAACTCGAAAACGCCCCACTTCGTTTGCTAGACACCACTCGTGGTATTTTATGTGACCGAGAGGCTCAAATAACCGCGTTTAAGACAAGCACCGAGTACAACGAACTTCTGCGATTCGTAATGACGCGTCCAGACCCGCGTGAAGACCCGCATGAGCAGCACATCAGAGAAGTAGTGGAGAAATACTTCCGTTGCGTCATGCTGTCACACAGGTGGGACGCGTCGGAGTCACTGTTTCAAGAAATTCAGGGCAAGGTCGTGTACAAGTTGCGTCCAGTTGATGGCATCGTCAAGTTGCAATCATTCTGCAGCATTGCTCGCAAAGCGGGGTATCGCTGGGCCTGGATGGATACGTGCTGCATCGACAAGACCGACAATGTTGAGCGCGGCGAATCGATCAACTCCATGTTTGTCTGGTATCATCATGCAGCACTTACCATCGTTTACCTCTCGGATGTTCCACCTTCCTCCAAGTCTGGCGCACTGGCAAAGAGTGTCTGGAACGAACGAGGATGGACATTTCAAGAACTTATGGCCTCGAAATGCATCCTCTTTTATCAGAAGGATTGGACCCTGTATCTTAACAATCGCTCTCCCAACCACAAGCATTCCATTGAGATCATAGAGGAGTTGGCGGATGCTACATGCATAGACCGAGAGGCTCTCATTTCTTTCCATCCAGGGACGAAAAATGCCCGAAGGACACTCCAATGGGCATGCTCGCGTACCACCACACGGCAAGAAGACATTGCCTACTCCTTGTTTGGCGTCTTCAACCTCCGTTCACACGTTGATTACGGGGAGAAGAAGCAAAAAGCCCTTGGGCGGCTCTTGCAAGAGATCATAAATGACCATGGCGACATTACCGCCCTGGACTGGGTTGGAAGACCATCCGAATTCAACAGCTGTTTGCCAGCCGAAATGTCTTCATACAAAGCTCCACCGCACACATCCCCATCTCTATCTCCTGAAAAGCTGTCCGAATCAGTCTCGTTGCTACGAGAAGCTGGGATTATACAATCGGCTGGGAAATTATACAGCGAACTCGACTTCCTCCATGCTCCCCGTTTTGCGCATAAACATCTACATCTGCCTTGCATCGCATTCCGTCCCACAATTAGACGGATGAGCCCCCGAGGCAAGGATAAACGTATCACGTATGAAGTCAAGACAGACGGACTCCAAGACTTACTTATCACCACGGAAGACGAGCTCCTCCCGACAAAATTAATCCCTCGAACGCCTCAGTTCTTGCTCATTCGCCCGTGGGATCATAGTCTTCTGGAGTCGCCTAATGACACGGACAGCGTAGGCAATTGGACCCCGCCCGAATCCCCCGCAGACGTTTCGCCTGATGGGCCTTTCGAAGAGCATGGACTGGTTGATTCGGAACGAGCGTTGCGATTGATAGTTCGCCTTGGACAACCTTTTAGCGCATTTTTGCTAAGGCGCGAGGTTCGCACAGAATACAGGAGAGTTGCCTCGGATCACAGTATTATTGCACAACTCAAAAACATGACTCGTATTGACGACATGAAAGTCGGGACAGTAGAGATATCGTAGTGGAGAATTTTGAATTCTACCTGGATTGCTATCATTGGAGTGTTAAAATTTCAGACCGGACTGGTATTTTGCAGGTGTACGTACACTACAGTCTACAGATCTCATGATGACCGTGACGCAGTTTTGATTTTGCCTCGGATGGTCGCCGGCAACGGTCACCGGTCATCAATCAACTCGACACCGTAAACCGCATCTAGGCGCTGGCAGACAGCTTTCCCTAGCTAAGAACTGTGCATCAATCACTAGCAAAGTCCAACCCCGTGCTACTACTTAGTACTCTACGTAGATATTGTGGAAACAATGTCTATGCCAAGGCTCAAACCCATTATCTTCTATGATATTCCCAGCATCGTGCAGACATGGTCTCCAAACACGGTGAAAACAAGGCAGGTTACCCGCCTCAAGAGTTCCTCTTCGTCGTTGACATGACATAGATACTGTCTCACCTTCAAGGGCCTACCCTTCCAGACCGTCTGGCTCGAGTACCCTGAGATCAAATCATTCTACGAACAACATTCTCTTGTGCCCACTACCTTGCGTATCATCAAGGGAACCCCAACGCCCGTGCACACGCTTCCTGTCATCATGGATCCAAATACGAATAGGTTCATTACAGACTCCTTCGCGATTGCACAATACCTTGATGAGCAATACCCCGATACACCGCAAGTACTGCCACATAACACAGCCGCGCTGGTGCACGCCTTTCATACTGCGCTGCATGACGCCATAAGGGGCATTGTCATGCTGGGCAGTTTTAGAGGTGCTCAGAAACTTAATCCCAAGAGCAAGGAGTATTATATTCGCACTCGTGTGGAGCGACTTGGCATTCCATGGGAGCAGTTTGCAACGCCCGAGAAAAGAGAGGAACAATGGAACACACTGCGTGCTGCGTGCAATACCATAGATGGGTGGTATGCAACCGGCGGCGGTCAATTCATAATGGGGGATACACCATGTTTCGCTGACTTTGTGGTTGCGGGACTATGTAAGTGGATACAATATTGCTTTGATAATCAGGAGTGGGAAGAAGTGAAGAGTTGGAACGGAGGGCGATGGAGGAGACTAGTTGAAGCAACTGACAGGTATCTTGATTGTTCCAAGTAGTTCCGTTGAGCGTGATGCTCTCGGCTTATCTGCACGAGCATAATTCAAATGACAAACAGGATGTGATAACAATTGTGAATCGACAAGTGAAATATTGATACAATATGGAGTCATGGTAAGATGCAAGTCTGTACTACACTACTGCAGGGTCTGGCTATGTTGGAGGTGGGCGACGGAGAGTGACAGGGGGTTTTGGTGCGGTGGTCTCCGCTGCAGGCTTCACCCGCTTCGCCAGAGAATTGTCTGTAACTGGATCTTCTTCTCGACTACGTTTGCTAGCTGCGCCAATGATAGACATTCCTGCAGTACCGGAGGTAGTTGCAGCGGGGGGTGGAGCGCCGCCCCGACCAGGAGCTGCACCTCGGATGCTGATGCCTCTTCCAGTGCCGCGCGGAGCAACTCTGCCTCGGCCACCTCTGGGAACACCAAGTGAGACCGCACCACTGGTGGGTGGCTTTTCTCCACTAGCAGCTGCAGGTTGGCCTACTGGGGCTGGGGCGGCAGGCTTCACGGCTGTTGCACTTGGTGCAGTTGCTACCTGAGTGGAAGCCGTGACTGGTTGTGAGGTAGAAGCTGCAGTAGTAACTGGGGGTGGCATCTTGGAGGTTGACGCTGTGGGCGTTTGCGGTGGTGGAGCCTCGGGGATCAAACCAGCCTTTCGCCACTCCAACACTTGCGCTTCCAGATCCTTGAGCTTGACCTGAGATCGAACAAGCTGACCATCTTTGATTTTGCTCTTCGCCTGCGATTCTAATCTGCCCCGCTCGACCGCTGCATCCAACTCTGCGTTATGTCGTTCTTGGAGCTCTGCATCATGAGCAGCGATGGCAGCGGCAATAGCAGCTTTCGTTGCCTCATCGGAAGAAGAAGTAGCAGCCTCCGTTTTGGCAGCCTTAGTAGCAACGTCTACTGCTGCCTTGAGGGCTGCCTCGTGCTGAGTAGTCAGCTGAGCCCGTAGAGCCTCCAGTTCTTGGGCATGCTTCTTCGAGAGTTCCTCAGTGTTTACAGAAGTACCGCCAGGAGTCATTTCACTCTTAGCCTTTTCGACAGCGGCGGCGACAACGGCTGCTTGTTCCGAGTTGAACCTTTCTCTGGCTCGGTGCATTTCCTGAATTCTAGCTTGGAATTTATCGTTGGATTGACGGAGGTTCCTGATTTCATCGGACGCCTTTTTCGCCGAATCGTCTAAGGTCTGAAAAAAGCCGTCAGTGTAGCTTCGCACAGTGAAACCAAGTGACCAACACTAGTACGCGCTAATGCCTCGTCTCGCGCCTTTATGAGTTCAAGCTTTTCCGACTCCCAGGAGTGTGCAGTATCGGAAGGTAGAGTAGAGGATCCAGCTTTGCTCAGAGCCTCCTTTTCTACTAGAAGCCTATCTCTCTCCTCCTTGAGGGAAGCCTAGATGAACAGGGTAAGTAACAAAACTTTGACTTGTGGAAAAAGCATACAATGAGCGTAGCTTGATCTGATGAACCTTCGGCAGACGCCTGGGCTTTCACAGCTCTCTCATTGGCCAACGCTTGCTCCAAAGCGACTTTCTCTTGCCGTAGCATCTCTAGCTGGGAGTTCAACTGCTGCGATGCATCAGATGTCGAGGTGGTGCGCAATGCGTCTCGTTCGGCAGTAAGAGTTTTGATCTTGCCCTCGAGCTCATTAACGGTGGCATTGAGTTGAGACTTCTCGCTGTTAAGTAACCCAAGGCTAGATTTGAACTTGTCTACATTTTTCGTGTTGCTATCTTTGTGGGTTCTGAAATTAGCTTCGAGACGCGAGAGCTTGAGACTGGTCAGAAGGGCGTTATCATTTGAAAAAAAAACAATGTACCCGGGCCTGGATGGTATTTGCTCGTTCTTCATGTTCTGTAGCCAATTTCTCCACATCAGCCTTCTGAGTTTTCAGCGTTTCAATTTCATCTTTCAGCGTTTGAATCTCAGCGGGGTCAGTACGATCATACTGCCAAGCCACGTCAGCCTGAAAAAAGACGAACGGTTCCGAACACTTACTTTGCTCAGCAACTGCGCGTTGCGTTCTTGCCAACGGCGGCTCTCTCCCTCAAGACGTGTAATCTGTGCATCCCTAGCTCGTAGCTCTGCCTGTGCCACACGAGCCTGTTCCTTGACAGGTTCAAGCTCTGCAGACAATGCCTGTAGTTTCGCGTCGAGCTCGCGAGAACGTTTAGCATAAGTCTCGCAGTCAGCGCGGAGGGTGGCATTGCTTTCCCGAAGAATGTTGAACTGGTTGATCCTTTCCAACATCTCAGCGTGCTGAGCATCCGAAGTCGCCGCTTCCATCGCCCGTTCCCGTTCCTGATGCCAGCGTCATTGATGATCAACAATAATGGATACTCACAAACGTACCTCAGCAAGGGTTGCCCTGGTCTCTTGCAAACTCTGAGTCAGGTGCTCGATCTGAGCCTTCAAGCGGACGTTCTCCTGTTTACTGAGCTCAAGCTGGAGATCAACTATCTCTTTCTCCTTGCGCAGGTAAGCCACAACAGATCTGAGTTCCGAAAATTTGGTATCCACATCGCCACCGATATCTGCGTCACCAGAAGTGTCATCTGTAGCGGAGGAGTCTGCAGCCTGACGTATACGCGTAGCTTGAGTGCTGACAGTCTCAAGATGTTGATGAAGAAGAGCATTCTGTGCGGACAGATCCCTGGACCTATATTTGAATGAGATTCAAGGACCGATCGGCGTCCAATCAGGGACTCACCGTGCATGAAGATCAGCAATTTCCTTGTCCAAAGCCTCTTTTTGCTGCTTCCAGCTGCCCTCAGATGCTGCCAGCTTAGCTTGGGCATTAGCGGCTTCTGACAGGTTTTCCCTAGAGGTAGTTTGAGTGACGGATAATTGTTGCTTGAGAGTCTCGATGGTCTTGATTGACTCAGCATGGAGAATCACTTCACGCGAGTATCTATCTTCTGCGGCCTAGAAAGACTAAGAACGCAGATAACAACAGAGTAATGGCAACTTACGAGTGCCCTTTCCTCCTGCTGACGAACTTCACTCTCACGAGTAGTGCGGTCAGTCTCAGAAGTCTTCTCAGAGGTGCTCAAGTCGACGATGGTATCTTCCAAGGTCTTCTTGTCATTAGTCCAAACCAGCCGCTCCGACTCGAACGTGCGTTGAAGTTCAGAGAACTTGTCAACAGACTGTCGTACATCATCCTCCACTCTGTGCAGTTTATCTTGCAGGACCCTGTACTCCAGCTGTAAAAAGTGGTATGAGAACCAAAGCTCTGGTAATTGGAGTGAACCCCACCTCGTTCTTTGAAATCTGCGCCTCAGTCTCAGCCTTGTATTGATCATGCGTAGCATTCAGCGCTGACAGGGCAGCTTCGTTGGCTTGAGAAATTTCTTGGAATTGCTGCATGTGACTACGGGCAGCTGCGAGATCAACTTGAGCGACCTTCAAAGCAGACCTAGAATGGATCTGTTCAGTATGGTGCTACAAACACAGTACTTGGACACCAACCGTAATTCCGCGACTTCCTGCTCGAGTTGCTGTTCACGTGGAAGGTCTTGCTCAGTAGCAGGTGCAGCGCCACTCGCAGCCGATGGGCGACGTTCGTATACGGCAAGCTTCTCCTCGTTACCTTGTAGCTGGCGTGTAAGCTGGTCAACGCGCTCCTGGAGGTGGACTTTGCTGGTTTCTGCGCCGACGAGAGACTCCCGAACTTGAGATAGCTGTTCAGTCTGCAAAGGATAAGGACCGGTGTATCTCCACAAAGAAGATGAAGCATACCGTCTTGTCCAGGCGGGTTTGCAGGTCCTTCAAGTCGATATCCTTCTGAAGCGTGACGTGGCGGACTGAATCGCGCTCCTGCGAGAGCTGAGCCTTCAGGTCTTTCCTGTGACAGTCAATTAACCTTTCCTTACATCGAGAGGATACATTCAGATGCGTACGTCTGGTCATCCATCGCCTGGATCTGGTTTTCCAGGCGGCGGCGGTCGTTTTCTCCCGATCGTTCAAGATCGCCATGCATCCTCTGCACATTGGCCATAAGGTCAGCCAGGTGAGACCGTTCCACGGAGAGGGTCTTGTTCTCTTGCACCAAGCGAGCTTGGACAGACTTGAAATGACAATACTCAACACGACGTTTCTCGTAAACACAACAAAAAAGACAAACCTCCCATATTTTCTTCTCTGCACGCAGGTTTGCACTCTCATTGCGCAACTGCTCGACACGACTATTAGCCCCGGACAGCTCCTGCTGAGCTCGGTTACACTCGATATCAATTCGGATATACTGGTCGTAGAGTTGTTGATTGCGTTTGGTCAAGTTGTCGAGATCGCGGGTATGTAACGCTGCTTCGTCTTGGCCCATGCGATGACGGTCTTAAATAAAAAATCAAACGACCGAAAGCACAAACAGACTGTGAAAGTGCCTACCAGTGAGATATTCGATCTTGGCATTAGCCTTGGCAAGCGTAACGTTAACCTGCCCGAGATCGCGATGCGCTTGCTGTAACTCCTCTCGAAGCTTCACAGAATCCGTGCCCATCTCAGCTTTATAAGCCTCGAACTGAGCTTGCACGTCTTCAAGTTCCGCAGCCACATTGTTCTTGATAGGACCAGTGACGCCGTTGATGTCGCCGTTGATGCCCGCATGCAGTCCCGAGCGCTCAGCCCGCGCAAGCATGGCTTTCAACGCATCCCGCTCCTTCATGTATGCCTGAATTGTCATTTCGCTGCTCTTCTTCTGCCTCTCAAGCTGTGCGGCTAGATCTTGAATTGCCTCATGCGCCTCTCTCACGGCTTCACTCTGCTCTTGGTCGAGCGCTTCGCGGTATTCACGCTCTTCCGCCTCCATTTTGGAGCCGAGCTCACGTACAATCTTGAGTAGCTTCTGGTTCTGCTCTTGTAGCCCACCAATACTACGGAAGAGTACGAGGTTGTTCGTGATGACAGCATCAATGTTTTCAGCTGGTAGGGGCTCCATTTCTTCCATCTCGACATCCGTGGGCAAGGACGGGTCTGTGCGCCTCCCGAGTTCCT